GAGGTCAGAGGTGAATGATTGTTAATATAATAACCCTAGATAATCATTGCATGTAATAATAAAAGAATCCGTAATGAATCACACAACGTGGGCCTTCCATCATCGCGGATAGTTTGCCCAAAAATGATAAATCAGACCGTGCGCGGAAAAATTAACCTGCTGACCTTGAAAGTTGACCCACCGGGTCAAATGCAGCTTGAGGGTAAAGCTGGAAGTGTCCTAAGTAATATTAAAACAAACAGTCAAGATTTTGTGTAAACAGTTTTATAGAAGGACCCGAGCTAATCAGCTGTCGCAGAATCCTAAAAAACTCGTGAACTTATTTGGAAAATTAATGGTCAAATTTTTTCGAAAATAAATTTTAATAATCTTTTGGTGTCCCCTGCTGCAGAACTATTTTATCTACAAGGTACAAGTGACAAAATAATAAAATTATTGCGTTTTGGTTAGTTAAATTATTTCTGAAGTTCGACATCGAAAACGACGGGAACTTTTCCAAAAAGTTTATAAGGTCTGATGAAAACTCAGTCCGTGGGGTGTAACCACTTATCAAAATTTTGTCAAAAGTACTTACAGTGCAATATACTATATGTACCTTGGATAAAAACCACGTTAGGGATTTTTAGCATCAAAGTCGTGAAATGTGGGGGCCTTAAAAGTGGAAGAGTTGCGTTAAAGAGCGCATTTCATTAGGACAAGTATGAAATTAGACTGTAAAACGGACTTAAAAGATAAGCATGAGGCAAAAGTGGTTTTATATAGTGAAAAGCATGCTAAGTCCCTTAAAAATAGTCGCAAAAACTATTTTTGCATCAGGACCTCAGAAAAAAATATTTTGTTCAACGCCATTTTATAAGAACACTGGTTTGGAAAACTAAAAAAGGACACCTCTCCAAATTTGACCTTGCCTCATTTCGCAGAGTACACAAAATCGGAAGCCAGATATGCTTACCTATAGTTTGAGACATGGGCTTTCAGATAAAAAAAGTTAGAAATCTCTACGACTAAAATCCATCCCGCAATTAAGGCATGAATTCGTCAAAACCATGTCCTAACGCCTTTTGTAGGTACATGAGGATGAACCACAGCTTCTGGTCTTGAATCCCTGCAACAGTAGCAATTGTCTTTAATACACCAAAAATTGACGTCATTATATTTTCATTAAAAAGGAAGTACAGGTACATAGACTACTCTTATCTTAAGAACACTGTTAAGGGAAATTATTGGTGTACCTATGTACTTATGCACACAGGTACACACTTATTCTGTATTATTCGTAATATCTATGTACGTACACCAATTTTGATGCATACATAGAAATGCGTTATACGACCTGTCATCGATGAAAATCGTCTCACACGAATTCTTTCAAGCATACTTAAGACAGCTATAATTTTTAAATATCATTAAAAATAGTCGACAATGATACAATAATTATGTATTTACATATGTCTCTTCTGTAGCTAAAACATGAATTTAATAAAAGTTTTGGAAATTGTAGCGCTTTACAAATTGTCAAGTAAGTGGATAAACTTCATGACATGTATACAATTTGCGTATGTACATTGGGCCAAAGCTTGTTTTAAACGACAACAACAAGACGCGTATGGATTTTTTACATGATAATAAATACGAAAATTGCACCATCCTAATTGCTGTGCGGAATATGTACATGTGTCTCATACAGATATCCGTGTGCACAACAACAATCATCTCAAGTAGTGAAACTCCTGCCTGCCACCAATTCACTTGAGACGATAGTTATGCGTATTTGTCTGGATCGGGATTAGGCTGGTGAGACTGAGACTGATAGCACTGTGCTTTTTCTTGGTAGGGTGGCCGGCCACTGTCTGTTCATAATATGTATAAGAAGTTCACGTCCAATAAACTTGGCTTAATTTGACAATGGCAGTCAAATTATGTTAAATAAAACTGAGGCTTGGCTCCAGCCGTCATCATCATCATCTTATTATTATAATCATCATTATTTCCAAGTCCAAATAAGAAGAGTTGCATTACAGTGCGCAAGCAGAGTCCGCAGTCAGTGTGTACAAGAAACTAATGTATCCCACACTATATGGAATCTTGGAAAAGCTTTAAATGCGCGTCCACTTCTCTTGCTGCTTCTTGTTGGCGGGTATGAAATTACTGATAGAATTATGAAAGCAGGAAAGAAAGGGAGCCAGACAGCTAACTAACATCATCTCAAAGACCACAGCACCACACATGTGTAGGAGACATGTGAATGTGCACCATTACCTTCTCGGGAAATATTGTCTTAAAAGATGAAAAAATTATTGGAGGACAACATACATAAAGCAGTAGCTCCGAGCCCAGCAAAAACATAGATTACATTAAAAGGTTTACCCAGATTCTGGTAAGTAAGAAGTTTTGGTAAGTAAGAGAGAGTCGAGCTTGAGACCAGTGGTTCCCTGTTTCTTTTTTGCAGAATCTGTGCTCTTCGTCGTCACCATTAAGCTTTATAGATCGACCAGGCGAGATCAGCGGTGCATAAGTACAAATGAGTCTCTTTACACGATAACAAAGGCTGAGGAAACAGCCAAACCAACCGTTTTTGGTAGTAGTGATTCTGTCAATTAATGTTGCGCATAAAAAATGCAGAAATCGTAGATTAGCATTTTCATGGTGAAATTATATGACACATTGCGTATTTACAAGACAAGCGAGGGCGAAACAATCAAGACTCATGTATGTATCTCACAGATTTTTAGTGGGTTTGTTCCAACGTAGGATATTTAAATATTCCAAACCTTCCATTGCATAGTGAAATAAATATGAAACAATGGGGAATTCGAAATAACCATATTTCTCGAGTAGACTTTAACGAAATGATAAGCGCGCAAGTTTGATAAGTGTACATGGCGTCAGTATTCATTGCGAGTAAGTATAATGAATCAGTAAAAAACCCAGTCGGGTTGAGATTTTCGTCGTCAATCGATTGTGTCTTGGAGCCTTCCTGGCCGCCAAGACGGGAACACATTCATATCAACTACATATATCTACCGGGGGGCGGAAAACTCCACAAAAAAATCACCCAGAATCTCTCATCAATTCATGTCGTACAAATTCGTTGCAAGTTAGAAACTGGTCGTCCTCTGCTGTGGCTCTTGCCGTTCTCCAGTTGTCTCATCTCGTACAGAGTCTCACACTCCTCCTGCTCCTGCTGAAGACAACCAGCCATCCTGGAGTGAGAGTGTCTCACTTTGCAAATTGTGTCGAGTCAAAGGATACTGACCTGCAAAATCGTACATAATGCCAATTGGGATTTTGCATCCCATCTCTGACACATAAGTATTATGTACATCGTTTTGAAAACATGGATATGGATGTATGCATGTAGGCAGAGTATCATCAGCAATAACAACTGTCTGTCTATCGAGTAGACAGCGGCGGAAAGATGAGCACAGCGACGTAAAAGATCACTGGTCAACCTGGCACCAAGCACAATTCACAACGGATATGAGGACAGTCATGTAAGAGAGTAGACAAGAAGCGTTATTTCGGTTCGTGAGATTCGATCACTTTTACAGCATAAAAACTGCGCCTGGAATAACACTCAATATCCGATGGTTTACAGAAGCAGTGAATTCAACTCAGCATACATATCTGCGAGGGCCGGCTATAAACAAAATTGTCGGCCTTAGCGTCAGATTATCACAGTTAGTCAAATAAAATTTTGCGGTCAAATCATTAGAATGTGACAGAGCTCGTTGAGACTGAGGTACACATTTTATACAATATATGTACTTACAAGGGAAAGTATGCAAGTGGAAGTAGACGATGAGATGAGATTAATACGTAGACATGCATTGAATGTGCGACAAAATATAGTAAGAAATGTGCTTGTTTTATTTATCGTCTCAATGAGATACAGATTTATAAGTATTTATTTAATGGTTTTTCATGCAAGCACATTTAAATGTTAGATTGCATAATCGTGCGCTGAGCATGGCACCGATTCGCTGAAATGCACCAAGGTGGCTCCTGCCTTAAGAATCGTGATCGTGATTGTCTCAGTTTTTCGTTCATCTTCTCCGTGATCAAAGGAAGAAGACATTGAGAGCCGTGATCCCACGAAACATTGTCAAACCAGGAAGGAAGGGATTATTGTACGGAGAGAACAAGGGGGAGGGGAGTCAAAATTGCTGGGTCGACTTATCAGCTTTATTTAAAGGATAACATAGCCATTTAGATCGTACATGTAATTTTCTGTTTTAACATGTTATGTTTTTACTGCCACGATGCGATCATATTATCACGTAAGTGTCTCGGACGAGGAGGGATAAAAAGCTGTCTGCCAACAAAGACGACGACCCAAAACTCGCCATAATTTACCTTAAAGCTCATTGTTGGGGATGTTGGGTCCCAACTGGGGTGTGGTTTTTGTGAGAGTTTGAAGTGTGATGTTCAATCGTATGGATGGCAACAGGGTGGAGATGAATACTTTTATGAGAGATTATGGTGTAGTTGTAAACTGAGGCAAGTTGAGAATAATCAGGCAGAGACGAGTGCACAATGGTTTAAGGTTACTTCAAGTCAGGATTTATGCAATTTAAATATTGTTACAAGTTTGATAAAAATGGGAAAGATTGACGCTACTCACAGCAGCTTAGGTAAAAGAATGACAGCGAGGTCGACTTGTCGACCAATATTTATAACCTTATTTGAGAGTGAATGACCAGTCAAATGCAAAAATAGAAACCTTGAGTTTGGGTTGAAAACTGGAAGAATACAGAATACTGAGAAATTTGACGGCTAAAAACAATGTTAGAAACTGGTCAGATTCACAAAGGTAGGAGGCTTGCATGAAGTACAGATAATTACATTAGTTAAACGAATGCATGTGCGTCATAGTTAAGATATGTAAAAACTCGGAAGGAGACAAATTTAGATAAGGAAATAAACTGAACAGAAAAATCATGAGCATTATACAATTCTCAACATTCCGGCCACGTTGAAATGTCATTTCAAATTAAGAATTATGATGATTCCTGGGAGTTCGATGAGTTCGATGAGACTTCGATTGGTAGGAGACAAAGTTTGACTACTGGGCGTTTGAGATCTCCTGATGAAGTTTTGAGTGTAACGACGCGGACAACGGAGTCAGCGCCAGGGTGCAGGGTTTGGACTCGGCCAAGTTTCCATCTCAAGGGTGGAAGATTTTCATCCTTTATGAGGACCATGTCGCCCACCACAATTGCACGGTTGCCAGTCATCCACTTTGGACGTTGCTGAAGTCGGGTCAAGTACTCGTCTGACCATCGCTTCCAAAATGATTGGGTCATTTGCTGTAGTAACTGCCAGCGCGATAGGCGATTGGTGTTGAGGTGATCCACGGAAGGTTCTGGAATGGCGTTGAGTGGGCCTCCAGTAAGAAAATGCCCTGGGGTGAGTGCATTCAGGTCGTCGGGGTCAGATGATTCAGGAGTGAGAGGACGCGAGTTGAGGATCGCTTCAACTTGGGATGTGACTGTTGTCATCTCCTCGAACGTCAGTCGCTGTAGGCCAACGACTCGGCGCAAGTGGTATTTCACCGACTTGACTCCACTCTCCCAGAGTCCTCCGAAGTGGGGGCTTGCAGGGGGGTTGAAGTGCCACTGGATACCTTGGTTTGATAGTTGGTTGGCGACTTCAGTGTTATGCTGTTGTGATAAGATGAGACGTTGAAAGTCCTTCATCTCGTGGTCTGCTCCAATAAAATTGGTGCCGCAATCGCTGTAGAGATCACTTGGTCGACCTCTTCGTGATGTAAATCTACGGAATGCAGCCATGAATGCATCGGTAGATAGACTACTAACTACTTCGAGGTGGATTGCTCGAGTTGTACAGCAAACAAATACGGCTAGGTACGCCTTTATCGTTGTCTTGCTTCTTGGTTGGATCGGGCGAAGGTGAAAGGGTCCTGCATAGTCGACGCCGGATTTGGAAAAAGGACGAGCTTGGTTCACACGAAATGAGGGAAGGTCAGCCATAATTTGTTGCATGGTTTGGGCCTTGTGTCGGGTGCACACAACGCAGGTCTTAATCTGGCGCCGGATTGCGTCCTTTGCACGAGGAATCCAGTAGTGACGCTGTAGAGTGGACATCAACAGTTGAGGTCCAGCATGAAGATTCGTCTGGTGCTCTTGTTTGATAAGCATTTGTGTAAAACGGTTGTGTGTAGGGAGGAGGATGGGGTGACGTTGAGTCATTTGAACATTCGAGTTTTTGAGTCGACCACCAACTCGCAGGATCCCAGTTTGATCTACAAACGGGGAAAGGGACAGCAGCTTACTTTTGTGGGAGAGGGGTTTATCTCGTTGGAGAGAATTCAGCTCATGTGCGAATGCTTGTTGTTGGATTAATCTGATCCAATAGTGCTCGGCGATGGTCAATTCCGTCGTCGTCAGAGGTTGCGGTAATTGAAATGGTCCACATGAGGGCAGTTTCACAATAATCTTCGTATTCTGGGGGTTGGTTGCTTGACTTGGCCTACAATTCTTGATGAATCGAAAGACCATTGCAGTTACTCGAATCAACTTGTTTAGAGAAGAGTAGCGATCCAATATTAGTTGGTTTGTTGTTGAAATTGTATGAAATGTGACCACCTTCTTGGCTTCCACGTTGATCATCGAGACTGTCGTGGAGTCAAAGGCATTGCAATTTCTGGGTGTGGGAGTTCCTGTTTTCAGCCAAGTTGGCCCAGTCCACCAGAGAGGATGATGAGTGAGTTCATCACATTTTATCCCACGAGACGCGCAATCTGCAGGATTTTCGTCCCCACGGACATGTCCCCATCGAGAAGAGGGAATTCGTTCTTGAATCTTCGTTACGCGATTAGCTACAAAGGTCTTCCATCTTGAAGGCGGTGCCTGTATCCACGCTAACGTAACGGTGGAGTCGGTCCATGCAGTGAGGGAGTGAATCGGGATCCGGAGGGCAGTCTTAACTGATATGAGCAATTCAGCGAGAATATCAGCTCCACATAATTCGAGTCGAGGTAGGCTTATTTCCTTGACCGGAGCGACGCGGGTCTTCGAGGCGACGAGGGAGACGGAACCAGAATTTCCATCGTAGGCGCACAGGTATACTGCAGCTGCATAGGCCTTCTGGGATGCATCGCAAAATCCGGCGAGGCAGAACTTGACTGGGGATGATGGATGAGTGACATTAAGGCTTGGAGCGGTCAGACTTGTGCCCCACATGTAGAAACGGTTGATTTCAAGTTTGCTGAGGTTTTCAAGATCGGTCCTAAATTCCATCCAGTGGCGTTGAGAATCTTGTGGTAAAGCGTCGTCCCAGCCTTGGTCAAGTTTCCAAAGCGATTGCATCACAATCTTTGCCGTGATTATGATCGGTGCGAGCCAACCCACAGGATCGAAAAGACGAGCCAGTTCTGAGAGAACATTTCTTTTGGTTAATGGTTTGGTTGGGGCAGGGAGAGGAGCTAACTTGAACAGGAATTTGTCCGTCTTGGGGTTCCAACAGATGCCAAGAGTTTTAATGGTCGGGTCCAAGTCGAATGTGAGAAGTGATTGGGTTTCTCGCATGTCTGGGGGAAGGGAGTCGAGTACTGCTTGAGAGTTGGATGACCATTTCCGAAGTTGTAGCGATCCAGCCTTCATCAATTCAAGTAATTGTTGTTGAGTATTGAGGGCTTCTTTTAATGAGGGTTCACCGGACATCAAGTCGTCCACAAAAAAATCTCGTCGTGCGACTAGAGATGCGCGAGGGAAGGAATCAGCTTCCAATTTGGCATGTTCGTCGAGGACACGGGTTGACAAGAATGAAGCTGGGGCAGTACCGTAGGTCAGAGTGAGTAGGCGGTAATGCTTGACTGGTCCGGTTGCATCTTCACGCCAAACTATGCGCTGGAGATCTGCATCTGAGGAGGTCACCTTAATCTGCCGATACATTTTCGCAATGTCGGCGGTGAAAGCTATCTTGTGGAGGCGGAATCGACACAAGATGTCCACGAGTGAATCTTGGATTGTAGGTCCAACCATCAGGGTATCGTTGAGGGAAATACCATTGGAGGTCTTGGCGGAGGCGTCGAACACGACCCGAAACTTGGTGGTGGTGCTCGATTCTTTACGGACGAACTGATGAGGGATATAGCATTGGGTTGTATGGGATTGGTCACTGGGTTCCACTGGCAGAACTTCTTCCATGTGACCTAGTGCTTCATACTCTCTCATGAATGAAGCGTATTCTTTTCTGGCCTCAGGGTTGGTCTTCAAGCGACGCTCGAGATATAGCAATCTCTTCAGTGCAATGTTGTAAGAGTGTCCAACATTTAATCTCGGGATTTTGAACGGAAGTTGTACAGTGAAACGCCCTGTTGCATCACGACGGTATGTTGAACGGAAGTGGGATTCGATTTCTTTTTCTTCTGATGTGTGGCATCCCTCAGTTGGTTCGCTCTGCAGTTCCCAAAATCTCTGAAGTGTAGCGTTGAGGTGCTCATCATCACTGGCAATTTGTTGAGTGGAGTTGGTGGAGCTTGGTCCACATTGTTGTAGAGTGAGGGTGGAATGAGTTTGGGGCTCGAGGAGTGGGATTTCGGCGGATCCACCACCAATCAGCCATCCGAAGCTTGTTTTGATGGCGATGGGACTGTTGGAGGGACCTGATTGTTTCCCACACTCCAAGATGCTGAAGAAGAATTCTGCACCCAAAAGCATGTCCACGTCTCGAGGTTCGTGGTAAGTTGGGTCTGCTAATTGTAACCCACAAAGATGTGACCACTTGGCGTGGTCGAAAGGCGATGACGGAAGTTTGCCAGTGATTTTGGTGGTGATGAGGCATCTTGAGACAGGGAACGAAATTGACGAATCGAAGTGAGGCATAACCGTAAACTGAGTGATTCCGGTAGAATGAGCGAGAGATGATCCACCCAAGCCTGTTGCGGATGTGAAGCATCTTCTGCGTGGGGCACCGATCCTCTTGAGGCAGGACTCGGTGACGAAGTGAGTGTTGCTCCCATTATCAGCAAGAACCCGGAATGTATGCAGCTTTCCATGCTTGTCGGCTACTCGAACTAAGGCAGTTGCAAGTAATGTGTCGTATTCATTTGCTGCTGTGGATGAACAACTGGATGTGAAGAAAGTGGTGGCTGGGGGATTCTCCGCCGCTTCATCGGGCTTGGTACCCGGATTGGCCTCCTTTCTTGCGTGAAGAAGGGTGTGGTGTCTGTAACCACAAGATCTGCAGGTGGACTTGGAGGTGCAGTCCTGCTTCCTGTGACCTTCGCGTAGGCAGTTGTAGCAAGCGTTTATTTTGCGAATGGCATCAGACCTCTGCTGGATGGACCATCCCATGAATTTCTCACACTTGTACAAGGGGTGGGATTGGTTCTCACAAATCTTGCATGTAGACGGTGAGTTGGCGTGGTGGACCATGGGACGAGATTGCGATCTTGTTACTCTTTTCCCTGGTTTATTGCTGTTTTGATTGCTGTGTTGCGCAGGTGGCTGTGTTACCTTGGAGGGGGTGTCGGTACCGCTGGCTGCCAAGGCTCGTGCTCTCTGCTCCAAGAACTCGTACAGGGATCTTAATGTTGGGATTGTACTGTCCTTGAGACCTTGTTCCCAGAGTTCCTTTGATGAAGGATCCAATTTGTTCACGATGAGGAAGAGGAGAATGGCATCCCAATGAATGGTCGGTAGCTTGAGCACGTCGAGAGATCGGATGCATTCCTTCGATACATCTACTAGTTGACGAATTGCTGTAGATGAGTTGTGTGGAACTGTTGCTTGATTTGTGAATCTTCTTAATATGGCGAACAACAATTCACGGTCATTCTGGTACCTATCTGTGAGTAGGCTCCATGCGATATCGTAGTTGGCGTCACAAATGGTCATGGATGAGAGTTGTCGTGCTGCTTCTCCTTTGAGTTGGGATTTAAGGTAGGTCAATTTCTGGGACTTACATAATGTAGTATTGGAGTGGACGGTGGTGACGAACATGTCACGAAATGAGACCCAATCTTGTAAAGTGCCGTCGAAGGAGGGGAGTTCTAATCGCGGAAGTTTTATGTCAGGACTGGGGATGTGTGTACCAGATCCGTGACCGGTGGAGGTGCCTGGGAAGGACATCTTGATCGTAGTGAAGGCTATTACGACACGAGCAGCTTTACCGAGAAGAATTTGGTATTCAGCATTGTGAGGGGCCATATCTGGAGGGGAAGTAGCTTGGATTTTGTTGTGGATGGCCATAACCTCTTTCTGTGCGGTCTCAGCCATGGCGAGGAAATGCAGTGTACTTGGGAGATTCAAGGGCCTCGTAGCATGGTTATCAGATTCAATTTGTAGATAGTCGATTGTATCAGTTACCGATTTCCTCTCGTGGATGGCCTTGTCCAGTGCAGTCGGGGGCGCCATGGCACTTGTTGTAGAACGTTGAACACTTTACACACGTTAAATGGAGTCAGATCCGGTTCGCAAGAGACCAAAAATGGTGGGGATGTTGGGTCCCAACTGGGGTGTGGTTTTTGTGAGAGTTTGAAGTGTGATGTTCAATCGTATGGATGGCAACAGGGTGGAGATGAATACTTTTATGAGAGATTATGGTGTAGTTGTAAACTGAGGCAAGTTGAGAATAATCAGGCAGAGACGAGTGCACAATGGTTTAAGGTTACTTCAAGTCAGGATTTATGCAATTTAAATATTGTTACAAGTTTGATAAAAATGGGAAAGATTGACGCTACTCACAGCAGCTTAGGTAAAAGAATGACAGCGAGGTCGACTTGTCGACCAATATTTATAACCTTATTTGAGAGTGAATGACCAGTCAAATGCAAAAATAGAAACCTTGAGTTTGGGTTGAAAACTGGAAGAATACAGAATACTGAGAAATTTGACGGCTAAAAACAATGTTAGAAACTGGTCAGATTCACAAAGGTAGGAGGCTTGCATGAAGTACAGATAATTACATTAGTTAAACGAATGCATGTGCGTCATAGTTAAGATATGTAAAAACTCGGAAGGAGACAAATTTAGATAAGGAAATAAACTGAACAGAAAAATCATGAGCATTATACAATTCTCAACACTCATAATAAGATTCAAATGAAGTTAACTTTATATTATTTTGTCGACAAAGAGGCGACCACGTTTTTTTGTGTGAATTTTCAGATTTAAATCTTTATCCTCTTCAGCTTTGGAAGGAAGGGAAAAACAATGAGTGCGTACAATACAATTCATAAATACAGGCCAAGCCACCATTGTCTGAGGAGACGATACCGGTTTGAATTGAATATTGATTCAGATTCAAGGTGGAAATACCAATTTTGAAAATGTGTTTTTTGATAGTTTTATCTGAATTAAGTAATATAAATATTGCGTTATTATGAAAATGTGTGAGCTAATTCAAGCCCAAAAGCATTAGATTGTGCCAATTATGCAGGTACATTTATTGATTTTATGCCGGATAGAACATAAAAATATATTACAACAATAAATTATAACATATATTTCATCTATCTGTATAAGTAATGTACATATATAAAGATTTTTTTCGAATACGATTTCTTTAAATGACACGGGAATGACAATTTAAAATAAACTAATTTTTATGATATTAGTATTAGCAAAAAATTTAGACAATTATAAATTTTATCGAAAACTTAACAAAAAATTATGAACATGTTAGCTTTAAATAATTCATAGAACGTTTAGTTCTTTGATACAATAATTGTAAATTTTGTGTTCAGTAATGTATGCATTTTGTATAACACTACATATTTGTGACACTGTTAAAAATTGAAATAATGAAAATAAACTTCACAATCTAGTCATATTTCAAATGTAGAAATTTAGTCATTTTTAACTCAACAAACCTTCTGTATTTAGTCAATTAATTAGGTTAAATTGTGTTCACGCATTTACCATTTCTTCATCAAGCGAATGTACATAAATATGTAATCGCCAACTTCTCTTTACTCATTCTAATTTTAGTATTGTTGTCCATTTTGTTTTGGGCTTTTAGATGGATGAGCCCCAGGATCACGTCCGTATTTAATTTTGGGAGTGGTGGCCTTTTTTGGCTGCTACAGGCAGCTTTTCTCCTTGAAGATATGGATTCTCTTCCTGTGAAATGCATAGAATCGATTACATCAACACTGAAAGGAGGTAATAATAGCAAGGAGCACATTCCAGTTTACAGAAAAATGGTCTGGATATAAAATAATAATTCTTGATGTCTATCAAAAATCTAATTCCTTCACATTTCAAATTCTAAATGTATTTCTGTAAAGCCCTCGAGCTGCCTCATGCATATGATTATCAATGAATCCATTTATTATGTGCATGTTCACATGTACGTGCATGCCAGAAAGTTGTGCGTAAACTGTACTTTCGACATGATCAGGCTTTCTAATAATCTGCTGGATAATTAAGGAATGTTATGCACATGCTCCGGATCAGGAAATTTTATCTCCGGGACATTATGTGAATCACGCATAATCAATGTGCCTCTCATTCCTCCCTTTTGGTTAGCTATCTGCCAACACATCTTTTTAAACCGCTCCTAAATCTTATTCCGGTCAAAATCATCCAATCTGTTGTGCTGGTATGAACAGCCCAGTTCATAATTACACGGGAATGGGTAACGCCTAGGGACTGATGCTTAGGACGGAAAACATAATTTATTTTATTACCAGTTTGATGCCAGAGTCGTGGGCAGCAGCAGCAGCCGCATTTCGAGCCATCTCATTCAATCGACTCAACGTCTGTTCCGGTGCCTGCAAACAAAAAGTATCGCAAGGATTTAGAACAAAACCAAGCATGTACAAATGAGGACACTAATTCGTTGATCGCAATGATAGATAGCAACAAGAAAGACGCTAAACAATAATATTTCGGTCGTCGTATCTCGATTCTAAGAAACATACATAATGGGAACATTTCTGGAATTTCACCCATCCGAGAATGGGATTCAATATTGCATGGAATTTTTCTCGTCTCCTCGCGTCTCCCTCCTGTACTTTGTAAATGTGGTAAGTACCTGCCTCAAACCCACCTTCGTCCTGACGTGTGCTCATGAATGTCTATTGTTATTTGTTTCAGTTTGCTGCCAACAAACCTTGCTCCTCATTATATCTACACTTACTGGTAATTAGGAAACCATTTTTTTCTGGGATGAATTAAATGAACCACGCCAGTTTTGACATTCCTTTGTGTATGCTTTCTATTATGACAGATTTCTTGCAAGTAATCGTATCCCAAGGAACATGTACCTGTGTTGTGGATACTTGAGATTTATGAAGTCTCCACTAGTCTTCTTACTTACTTACATACGCTGAGTTGTCTGCATTGCCAAGCTATGAGATCATAATGGACCAAATGTCAGACCGAGTTCTTGAGAAATTTGTAACAAACCAAACTTCACCTGGGATCTGATTTAGTTGGTTTCAACTGGTTGTCAGTAATTTACGACATTCACAGTGATTTTGTAAACTAATAAGACATGGACTTTATGTACATTCTCAAATTCTCAACTATGTACTTTCAGCAGAAATATGATTATTCACTGCTAACCCTGTCAGTCAATTTCCAAAAATTCACATTAATTAACCTCCCTTGCCCACAAATAGCATATAAATGTATCAGTAAGTTTTTAGAGCATATGCATATATCTGCATGCACATATATTTAAATATGCATGATTTCTTGTGCATGCATTAAAACCTTTGTGCTATGTGTGAAATATTTATATTAACCCAAAGGTCTTACTTTATGGTTATAAAACTTCTTGGCCACAAGACTCTTGTGTTGTCCGTCCATCTGTATGCACATAAAACAATGAATCAGACTTGTTTGAAAAATTTAGAATTAATTAGATATTGTTGATTGGTATGTGATACACATTTTGTGGACTCGTTTGGTCCAAATTGGTTAGTTAAAATACCAAGTCTTATTTACCTGCATGTCGGCTAAGAATGAAGATTGGCCCAAATTATTCATATCAGACTCATCATCAGATTCCTGTGCAGCATGACAGTCAAACATGTGCTGGAACATATGGAACATATTATGGAATATTATTTTGTAGTTTATTATTTAATCCACAATGAAACATTACTTACCTCCGTATCACACATACAATCTTGGCTCCCTTGATAGGCCCTGCTGTAAGCTGCCGTATTTTCAAACATCTCAAGACATCCGTCTTCAGCCGTGTAACCAACTGGACATGGGTTTGGTGGATCGCAATCTATAATTTTAGAATAATAATAAGAATTTCTTCATTGTCAACTTGAGATCTCTCCCTTTGTTACTAATTAAACACGAAATGTTACATACAAGCAGGGAGAACCGTGTCCGACTTCACCTAATTTGAGGATGCAAACATGAAATTTACACATGAATATTTTGTCCAAAGAACGTATTTGTGATATAAGTAATAAATTATACTTCACCTCCGTGGGGACCTGCTGACCTTTGACATTCAAGGCCCCAGCTCCAGCTGTAAATTGAACACATTTATCATTTAACAAATTACAATTATGCATATTCATCCTTCACCATCATTATATAATCAAATGCTACTCTTGTTAAGTACCTGCTCCTAGTTTGTGGCCATATAATGTGCTGTGCTGCAAGTACTCTTGATCTCTGATGGATGGATGTCCACTAGGTCCCAACAGCGTGTCGTAATCATTCTCATCAAGAAATTCCGAGTCCTTGATTGCTCGTCCGGGCACAATGGATAATCCCGAATGGTCCATTCTGCATTTCGTTCACAATTGTTACGGTGTAGAGACTCTTAATTATCACAAAAATATTTTCACCCTCTTACTTGCTTCCAAAATCTAGATATGCAGGTTCAGCAGGTTCCATATCACGGTTGATCCTTTCCATCAAGTCCTGGATGAATGCTGCATCGTTGTACATACCTCCAACTCCCGGCTGTAATAAAGTTAAAGGGTTCTGTAATACGTAGCTCGTGACCAATTATAAATTGTTTGAATGTGAAATCCAGAAATTCCGTATCCAAATTACTTACCTCGTGAAGGGGAGCATAACCCCAGGCAGAACAAAACCATAAGCTAAGAAGCGGCAATAGCTCCATGTTGTGCAAGTGGAAATTAAATGTGAATAGTTGTTTAAAACTTAACTATTGTGTTACAAACAAAATACAATATGTTGTGACGAGACGGGAGTCGAAAGGGATTTATGTGTGTTGCATTTAAACACAGCTTTCACCTTTCTCTTGAGAGATCGATAGAAAGGACATGGGGTTTGCGTAGGATGGGGTACGACGGAGTAAGGGAAAGCCATATGGAGAGAAATGGATCGATATCTGCTCGGATTCGCAATTTCAGAGATTTCGCCTTTTTGCATGCTTATCATGTAACTATTTGCGACAGTTTTTAACCAGTCTAATTCGTTTTCAGTATATGCATGAGAGATCATTGGAATATATGTATGTTAATTTAATATATTTTGAAAATTTTGTTGCAAACGATGAGGAATATGCATAGGTCAGATGTATTACGTTTTGAATTCTTATAACACTTGCTAGCAAATTGGAAGCGAAGCTCTTGAACGGTAGTTTTTTCTAAGTACTGTAGATGTCGGCCAGGGTCAAGACGGTGGGCTGCGCGTGGAAGTTAGTTTCTATTTTCAAGTTGTACCTATTGTATTGACAATTTGTTCTACAAAACAGTATTGTTTTGTTTCTACCCATTGTTGTAAATATACCGCATCAGGCATCGGCAATAACAATATATCTTGAGAATTAAAAAGTACAGAGAGAATTAAGCGAGGTAACTACTCTTAAATGTCCACGTGAAGAAAGCTTCAACTTTATGGGAGAGAAATTAGAACTTTAAAAGTACACGTGAAAATAGAGTATTCGCGTGACGATAAAAATAGCAAAGATAAAAAACTCTTTGACATTTATCATTCTGTTATTATCTTAACTTAATAGCCTGGCAGAGTTGGAATATATGCATTGACATTTACGCAATAAGTGCAGATTTTCATATTAAAAACACAGAAATATGGTATGTTGGAAGACAAAGCTAATGTGAATATGATGGGAATTGGAGTGTAATTAATTATGATTGACAGAACGGTATGAAAATATTGTATAATGTAAATATTATAGTAGGCAATAAATTCATGGACATGCTTTCAATAAATTTCAGCCGGGCATCTTTTGGGTATGTAGCACTAGGCGGAAGAAAGAGTACATAATCCTTTTACGTCAAATGTCAGACATAATGAACAAGATGCTACTTGTGTCTATTTTGAAATAAAAGAGGGCTTTGAACGACAATGCAAGAGGACAAAGATGATGAAAGCTCTGTAGAATAATACTTGCTCAAGTGCTTGTCAGTCTTTTATTTATTTTTATGAACGTGTACATCGCTGAATTCGGACTGAATAGTCGAGTCTACTTCTAGCAGGGCTACCTTCGATAAGGACTGACCCAGTCCACGTGGGTGAGAGTGGGAGGATGAGTTAAGAGAAATCAATACGACTTATGTGGGTGGAAGTGAAATCCATTTTACTTTGTCCAACGGGAAAAAATTGTATGTGTATGGAAGTAAATTCTACAGCACTGCAAGGTTCAACCCATAGGAACACAGTTATTACATATCTACGTGTACTTTATACTGCTAAACATCTGCCAATCTATTCTTAAAAAAACAAGCCAAGAGAAAAAGAAATGACAAAAAACTCATGGTAGAAAATAGAGAAAGCTTTCTACAATGTGAAACTATATCCGTAGGCTTTTCTCCGTTGTGTACTTTGCACATCTGGTAAATCTCATTTATTCCGTATTCCCATTTGTCTTACTCATTATTAGCCGAGTCAGGGCTCACGAAACCTCTATGCTCGTCTACTTATTTGCCTCCAAGACAATCTATCAGACGATCTACTGGTCTTAAGTACTTGACATTTTTCGCACAGTTGTACTGCCAAATGTCTTGGATAATTACTGAGCTCGATTGGAATGATGCAATACCAAAATGTACAAAATTATGAGGCATGGCGATTTCTCACGTCTTTTAAACGTGTGCATATGTATGAAGTCAAGCGAAAAAAATTTCCACAGGTTTGACAGCGAGAGTCAGCTATTTCGCATTTCGAAAAAATTTCCGAAAAAGTTGGAAATTTGTATGGCCTATACTTGGGTATAATACATAGAATTTCGTGGGTAACGTGGAGTCTCATAAGAAGTTAGTCTCATAAGAAGTCTGGAGAAAGTTTGATATTGGCAACGGTATGTAACACACTAGTTTTTACAAATTCTCAAATAAAGTGTGTACAATTGAGCAGTCTATGTAGAAATTGACTGTGGAATAGTATTTCCGACCCGCCCAAATTAAGATTGATATTTTGACTTGAAGAAGTTACAAAAGCTTGTCAATTAATTAACAAGCAATAAATAGTATTCTTCCAAACCATGAAAAATTAATCTAATTAAGAAATATATTTCATAGATTTTAGTTTACAAGTAAAAATATATAATTCGTTTATTTATTACTTGATAGCACACGTAATTCGAAGATAAAGATGCTATGTTGTGCAACTGCACTATTTTTATAGCAAGCTGTATTCTCATTCTCTCACATGTCAAAGTGTTTAATCTGCTCAACTAGGTTCAAAAGCAGCAAATCACCTTCCTTTGACAATCACACATGCCTGAGCACCACTTTACTTGCACGTGGATAAGGATAAATGTGCATGTCCATTGGGGTGAGTGAAAGCGTGTAACGAGCCTATTCACATACATACGTACGTACGTACAATAAGTGCAATTCGTCCAAAAATAGTCGACAACATTATTCTCGCTTGTAGATGTAGGACTCGACCAGATTGCAGGAAATAAGTAAGCGCAACATGTAGAAAGTATTAGCATTGGTGGGAAGCCCAATTTATTAAATATTCGTAACAAGCTTTGACGCAAGTTGCCAACTTTCTCTCGACAATTCATAATTCATGTCCTTTTATCATTTTTACCATCACCACTTCCATGGCTGAAGAGTACTGCATAGGCCAAATTATGACGTCAAATCTTATATCAGTAAGAGGTAAGGAACAAGTAGCTACATATGTAGGTACGTGTATATCTAACGATAAGTACATATGACAGACATATAACATTGATGTGTATGTGACTGAGAATTTCCTAGCCAGAACATATTGAAATATTTGCATTTGCAAACTTATTATCTCGAATGGTTGTTGAAAAAATCTCATATTAATGCGGACTATATGCGCGCTTACCTCACGACGAGAACACTTTCATTGTCATCTTGGTTTGTTCATTCCGAGTTTTTGTTTAGCGGAGAGAAAACAAATCTCAGTCCACATTTCAACATTTCCCTTTTGTGGACCCAACCATTACTCTCGATTAATTGATATTGTTACCTATAAACAAAAATACATTGCTTCGCGTGCAGGGAAACAATAAAGCAATGGGTATAATATTTGTCTTCATGGTAGCTCTATTCAGAAATAGAACAATAATGAGACGCTTGTGGGCACCGTTTATCGTAAATATCAACCGTTTCCATTTATAATACATTCATGTTTTGTTGTTGTTCATCTTGAATCATTTTTGCCCATTCATTGTTCATTGCTCAAATTGAGCTTCGATGTAACTTCGCCAAGTTACACTTGGCGAATAATGTATGCGGAAATAGAGAAAAACGTGAAAGAATGCTTAAGATGTCCTATGAAGCTGGACAGTCGGAAGAAACGATTGATCGGATTTCTGCGGTGCCTGTAGGTGACGTACGTAGATACTAGCAGGAAATAGCTTTTTAGCCATGAAGGTCGTACTTTCTCTGCAACAACGCAGAGAACACGAGCATAGAAGATAACGTAATAAATAAATAATCTTCAAATAAATTTGTCCAGTTTTCGAAGGTACTTGTTACACGAATGAATCATGACAAGATCAAAGTGGGAGGTCACTGAAATAATTTGTTACACATGGGTGTGTGACAATGACCCAAATCGTGGATTTATTAATTCCCATCTTGCAATCTTGTTTAACAATTCAAATCAGTAGAAAATTAGGGGCAAGGTAAACCCAAATACATAATGAAATAACAGCTAACAGACTTATGTATAAAGTAATGACATTTGGCTCTGGGGATCCCGTTGATGTGCCCTTCAATTACGTCCCACATGGACGCACAATACATTGTGTCCACCCGCATAAGTGTCATCCTGTCTTTTCTTGATTTTTACTCTGTCTACTCATTATACACATTTATTGTCTCCATGTAGGAAGAACTAAATATGTAACAAAATGTCATGGGCAAGGCAACATCTACGCAGTTGAAATGAATTTGATTACGAGAGTTTATTTGGAGGTTGCTCTATTGTTCTCCAGAAGCCCAAGTCACAAGAAAACTATTCAACGTAATTATTCTTGTATTTAGAACAAGGCCTTCGAGGGAAGATTTTTTTGTGTAACATTCTTTATTCTTTGCTCCGACTAAAAAATGGCAGATCACAGTTTTATGACAAACACCCTACGATTAATAGATTTAGCTCACAAGCTACTAAAAATACCCAAATCGGATCGCAATTAGCGTAGGTGTCTTCATCTCTTTGTAGCGTCATCAAAGCAACTCTATCCGCACAGTTCCAAGCCAGATCACCGCAACTACTTCAGAACGGGGCTGATTTTCAATTTCCACAGTATGGTTAGATTTCTATTAATGCAACATCTTGTCATTTTCACGCCCTCCTATTCCCTAGCGCAGTAATCCGGATTATGAGAGATGGACTGCTGCTGCTGGTGAGTTATTACGTGTAGCTCATCTCCGCCGTTCTTCCCATCCCTGCATTTGGTCATTTCAAAACTTTGCTCGCTCCGAGTTGAATCTATTTTTAGCACCCATTCCGCCCACACAATATGCTGATGACTCTGGAGAAATGCGTCACTAGTCTGTCCGAGAGACCCCGACTGCTTTCCCTCATCCCTTACTTTCACCATAAACTCATCCTACTTGCTGGATGGCTGCCAAACTCTTTCCCTGAATCAACGCTGGTAGTGAAACTGGGTGGGAATTTCATTCAGAGAAAGTTGCCGAGAATACCCGGATATTTTCTCAGCATATGCAGAAAAGCTTGGGCTCGCTTTCAGCAATAGTTAGTCAGCATAGCGCCGACTCTTTGCGTAGGTGGATTGGGATATCTCATGCTCAGCTTACTTGAACCCATGATCTACGAAAGGCTGAGATCGTCACGTATGTAGGTCTACTTTCCACTCATTTCTCCCCACAGTTTCTCCTGCATACGCCTGGACTACAAGGCTGTGAGTAAACTGTTACCACACTGTAGCGTTGGAGGAGATGGGACTGGGAGCCAGCAACAACGTCAACCACCACCGTCAACAACTTTCTCCCTGCTCTGCAGTCTGTTGTGCTCTCGTGCTCGTGAGGAAAGTTTGAGACCAAAGTAGATCCATTGGATCTCGTGTTGTTGAAGAGGACGCACGCTGATACTTTTCTCACTCGCCTTCTTACTCCTACGACTCACTCCAGAACACTTTCCTTCTCGAGTGTGTGGGCTCAAGATACATAGACTTGTGTCACTTTCGCAGAGTTTGGCTCGTGTCTGCTCCATAACATTGTCTGCAAAGTAAAACGCTAGTTCGTCTCGGTGTGGGGCATTGTGCAACTGGTTGAGTATTTGACCAGTTTTCGGATCTTGCATACAGGTAATTTATATATTACTATTTTGCATCTATTATGTACATAAGTCTTAAGATATTCAGACTCTGAGCATAAGATTACTGCTAACAATTGGCGTTTAAAATACTTGTTACGATGGATAGCATGCATATTAAGCATGCATGCATACATTGGAAGCTAACATTTCCAATTCTCAGAATTGAACTTTAATAAACTTTAGAAAGGTTTATTTATAAATTACTTTGGCCAACCAGTCACTTGTGACGTACATGGAAACCTCGATGGACGAACAAATGTCAACACGTCGACGAAACCGATTTAGCAACCAACGAACAAAGAGGGTAACCCAGTAATTGGGTAAATACCAAAGGCAGATACCACGGCAGTTTATTGAGGGTTTACGGGCAACCGAGTTTATCTGGTTTACTCGCTTTATTGAGTCCCAATCCACCAGACTCGATTTGCATATTCCACTCTCTGGATCTTTCTGCTCGTTCAGGTTTGAAATGCTTAACCGTATTCACCATTTTCACCCAGGTTTAATCAAACTTGGTTAGATTAGCGGCATGAAACTTTTTAAATTGTCTGTCAAATTCCTAATTTAACATGGCATAAATTTTAACCTGTCCATATTTAATCGAACAGGGCAGACAATTGTTCACAATGCATACCTTGATTATCGAGTCGCAAGCAGTCTCAAAGGAGGCAGTCAAGGGGCTATTGGAAAATTTAGTTTACAACTCATATTTTGAGATAAATTATTTGCAACAAAGGGAACGTGCATAATTCATCATTGGGGAATTAAATTCTTCTAGCAGTCTATTTTGAAGCAAGTCAAACGATACACGTTTTCATATACGTTGTGCGTGAAGGAGTTTGTACTTGTCTCCTGCCGTGTAGTGAGAAACTGAGAATACACTTTTCAATTCAAAATGTGACATTTCACCTTTTGCTGGCTGGAGTTCATAAAATATTCATCCCGTTCTGTCCGACAAGAGATGAAAGTCTCTGTCCACAATTTTGTTTGCACTCGCTGGTCGTATTATTTCTTCACTTCATGCTTTATTTCTCACTGCCATCTAATTAACGTCAAGTTTTTAGGGGTGAGGGTAGTTCTGAAGGTTGTTGTAGGTTATGTAAACATGGGAAATTACATACAGCACAAGAGACTGAACTTGATACTTCGAATGTAAGTGTAACTACTACAAATACTAGTAGTTACACTAGTAGTCTACTAGAAATCTTGCACAATTATCCAATTCAATACTAATTGTATAAACTATTTACCAAATGTCGGTAATAAATATTAGAATTTATTTTGCATGCCCGAGAAACCATATTATGCTTTCATCTTTTACACTGGTAAAGGTCACCTTCAGGGTGAAAGTAAATAATCACATTTGGATGGTGAAAACAGAGGGTGGAGGAAAGCTTTATTCTGTTGTTGTGATCAATGAACAGCAAAATCGCCTACGTATATAAACAAGGGGTAGATTTACTTTCATGTTTCCCTTGAACACAAATTGGGCTTAACTTTTAGTTACGATAAATGTTATCAAATGCAATATATATCAAGCCAAATTCTAGTAAGTATTAACTACGAATCTTATGTAATGCATACCTCGCGTTAAACCTACTGAATGAACCTGCAGTTTTGAGTAATTATTCTAATAATTCTAATTTATATTCAATCAATCTGATATTTGTCGAATTAAGTATCCTATTACCCATTTGATTCATACTTAAATTACTAACAGTCGACTGAAAAAAATTGTAGCAAAAGCGAAAAATACGGTTTGAACCTTAAACAGAATTGTTTTGTATCATTAGATATATCATTTGAACTAACGTTACGAAAAGGAACAGTGCAAGTTCAATTACTTGAAGTAATTTAATACTAGCTGGATATTAGAATTTTTTTGTTCCCGACATTTCCGTTAATGATTAGACGGCATCATTAAATTTAATGGTTGGAAACATCACCCACCTACACCAACTAAGGTTTCAATAAACTTTTGAGATGGAATATTATTTTTAGTTCTGCAAACAATGTTTCTCAGAAACGAGAAAGAACTTTGACCTATGCGACATTTCATTATATTGATTCATTACACACCTTTCAGATTCCATATAAAAGATGTAAACTTTCGTACTTTACACGAAATAAATACATATGTACTCATTTGATGGCTTTGTAGTTTGGGTCGAAATTAGTAAAGCTAATAATGATTAAAGCTAAACTGAAAATGTTTGAGCAACAGAGTTCAGAGTGTTCAGACTTTTTTAAAAATGCATTAATAAAAAATGCTACGTGAGAGAAAGGCAAATGTCAAAGGTAAACACGCAGCCTGTTCCACCCCCGGCCTTAATCTCTGAGATACATATAAAATCACCCACCCATCCATCCATCCACCTTCTTCGCAACCTCCCTCACATGCTTCTGTAAGCAGGAGAAACTCATTTTGTCAAATGTTTATTGACTTTTACGTAGGCGGAGGAGAAAGGACATCCAGCATTTCTATTTCTTCTATTATCAGTCGCACAAAAGTGGATTCGTAAAGGAAAACAGCAAGCACATAGAAAAGTCCTCAGGGATTACCCGTATTACACTAGATACATTCTCTCCTGAGAAAGTAAGCAACAGAAGCACGGCGGTCGCAGAACTTGGGATTTATTTTACCGTGAACTTTGTTTGGGATACAAGAAGAATTGCAAATCCTGAGTAATAAATCCTCAAGAGCAAGTTGGAGGAACTCATGCGAAGCTAGATACATAAGAAAACAAATAAAGGACATGTTCAAAGCCACATCTAAATACTTGACGACAATGAAAGTCACCTCGAGCCTCTTCATCCTCCTTGCCTACTTGACCTGTTGCATTTGGGCATGGCCTGCCGTTTCACCCTCAGTCTACAGACGAACGTCCAACGTCAACTCAAACTACATACCTTTCACATCCAACGTCGCATATGAGCCTGCAGACTACCAGCAGTTGCCACAAGAAGGCTACAACTACAACAGCCAGTGGGATAGGGCAAAGGAACCCTTGACTTATTATGACCTTCTCGATGATTACTGGATGAACCAACCTTCTTCCGGAGCGGATGTGGAGGTAAGCATCTTTCTTCATACAACACAATCTAATAATCCCGTCTCAAATATCCGACATTGTACGTGCATATAATCCATATCAGTCTTGAGCTTTCTTTACCCATACTCATGATTCACTCTGATACATGCTCGAGATATGAAGCCGTATTCCGAAGGGAAAGAAAGCATAAGTTCTATGATTAATTTGACTTTCTCTGCGCTACTCTTTAACATTGAGGATGCATACACCGGATAACTTTCTCAGTTTAATTAAGAGATGCTAGCTCAACCAACTTCAACAGTGGAGTATTTACCTTGATCTTTTGTTCTATGTAAAAAATGATTAGGTTTTGTTCGATAAGAACTTCATGATGAGCGAGTAGAATTGAATCTCTTATGTAAATTGCATTATATAATTTTCTCGTCATGTCATTCCCAGGCACTCCCCAATTTGGCAGAACTTTACGACCCTCCAATCTGGGGACAGATTGTAAAAGAAAAGCCCGAGTCTGAGCTTGAAGAATTGAAAGCAGAAGAACGAGACCGAGAGGCTGAGGAGCGACAACGAGCAGCCCTGGAAGCAGCAGCAGCGCCCTATCAATATTACGCCTATGACTACAATGGCCATCCAGAGAAGCGAGGTGGTTCCAAATCTCAAACCCACGCCGCCATCTCCCATCCTTCCGCCCCCACGACAGAAAAGAGCATTGTCACCACCACCGCAACTTCTACCTCACGAAAACCACAGGAGACGACGAGTACTTCTGCTCCAAAAATGGTCAAACTACTCCATCAGCAACCAGGACAGAAAGAAGTTCCACTTTTGAGACCACCAAACAAGGCGAAAGCAATCAAAATGGGGCAACAACATACTGGCGACAACGATGATGAGGAGGCACATGAAACTGAGGAACCATTGATCGCTGTCGCTCAACGGTCTCCAGTTGAAAAGCCATCAGCATATGACACACTCAGGAAATACATTTCCCTTGAAGACGCTCTAAAGAAGGTTCGTATCTAATTGTTGCTTTATCGCTGGTATACTTGGTTCAATTTGCTTTCCGCTATCAGCAGATATCAATAATATGCATATTCATCCAACTATCTGTACCTGTTGCAAATATTAGTTGTGATATTTCCTTTCCTATATTCCCTTTCCTTCCTTTGATGTATTAATACATGCTAAACTTTTCTGTTTCAACTTACTAAACAGGACGTAGAGAATAGGAATGAGGTCTTTGAGAAAGAGGATGAAGGAAATGGTGCTGTTCAGGACTGGCTGTCCTTTCCAATGAGTGAAAGTGGTATTGCATTAGCGAAAAGGGAGTTCCTAAAGAAAGAAATCAGACATCTTCTTCCACTCCATTCGTCTGCATCTTGGTATCCGGCAAACTTTTATGGGGAACGGTAGTGGATAGAACTGAAGCAAATTATTTCACCATGAGGGCATCCATATTCAACTGTAAAAGCTGCATGGTGTCGTGCATGAAGGAGCATACGTTCATTATCATCCTGCACCTTTGGTTGGAGCAGAAGCTCAAGTATTTAAATCAAGGAATGAAAACTTTCTTTTGGAACTATTTAATTCTAATAAAACCTCATCATATTTTTGCTTTTTGTCAGTACAGCAAATATTTAACTGGAGCATCAGTAAATTACTAAAGTTGCCAATTAAAAACTCAATTTGTAGAATATGCAGATATGTAAGTACTCGTGGGAGTTTAACTTGTATTAAATTAGGAAACTATATAAATATGTGTGCCTACGTATAAATGCAAATAAACAGGTATATTACATACGTGCATAAATATTCAAGACATAAAAATGACAGAAGGGCTCATCTTTTAACTCAAGGAAGGTGAAAAAGAACTGAAATAAAATTCAAGATATTTTGAAATGATAAAACTTTCATATCCTGATTTTCATACCGTACACATAAAAATATACTCACGGGCTGGAGGTACATACAAATAAGCGACTCTACTTTCAAGTTGTTAGTTGATGAACAATAACTCAATTCAATAACTCACTCTCTTTGCTGATGAGAAATTTGGAATCTTCTTACTTTCTCCAAAGTCTCATGCCAACCTTGAGTGAAATAAATCCTCTGTGATATGTACATGTTAACGGAAGAGATTATTTGTTCACTATCTGTAATCGCAGGCTTTTGAGTGACCTGTGACCTTTATTGAACTTGAGCATGAAGTGAACACTGCAGTGTGGCAAAGGTGAAAGTTGAAAGGCAATTTGAGAATGGTGGTTCCTTTTAATCTCGTTTGTCCTCTGGGGAGTGAACTGGTCGAAAAACCTACACAAGTGGCGTAACAAATTGTTGGATGATTATTTTGACATTTGTATGCCAAAATTTCCGTACTTTGATGTATACATAATATATAATAGTGTGGGGAGGCTATTGATTTCTTATTCTAACCACCACATATCTCTTTCATTATATGCTCACTGAATTCAAAAACGGGCAATTTCATTATCGGGCAGAGCAGGTATGGAATTATGGAGGATCTCACTCCGCCGCCCACGCCATTCGTGTCGTCTCAGTTCCTTTTTTCATCCTCCCACGCACGCTGGGTGGTAGCGTCGGAAGTTTTACTGGTTTTGCGGCTATGGTTTCCCGAGTCCGTTTTTCCCTTTGCTCAGCATGCATCTACATTCTGTGGCTGGCGACGACTACACAGGGAGCACACCACTGAAAGGAGCCGACAAGGGACAATATTTATTGCTCATTTTGTCATGTCACTTGCAACTTTCCCCAATCCCATCAGTTTCTCATCATGCAAGTAAATAAATTGGAAAACCTTGAAAATGGATGAATTGATATGCCAGGAAGAGTATGCAGCAGCGTTTAACGAATTATCTCAAGTGACAAACCTTGATGATTGTCATTTATTTTTTGCATGGTTTAATCAGCAATAATGGCACATTTCCTAGAACTTTTCGGAATCAGGAGCATTATGCATGCTATCTAATAGAGATCTGTAGCTGATATAAACTATTTAGACTTAAATGTCAGGCCGTTAAAATTTGAAATACATATGGCGCAGTACGAAAAGAACGTAATATGAAAAAGTAGGAAATGTCTCCGACTCGCTTAACTTATGTAAGCGAAAGCTTGTACATAATGCATAACACAGCATATAACGTAAAGGTGGACCATTACTGGAAAGCTGATTAGTGATGAATGATTGAGGGTATTACTGTGCCATCGAAAGCCTTCTTACCTCCAATAACCACTTCAGTACTACGGACTATTTATTTACTACAAGTAGCAAAGTGATTTTATTCGAGTCAGGCAGACGGACGCCTGCAAAGCTACAAATTATCCTCGACGATTGCTGCTTTACGTTGCTTTGCTATTATATTTCTAATTATTACATGATGCCATTAGTCGACGCTGTCGTTTTTCTTCGCCTACTTAGTCCATCAACTGAATTCCTATTGTTTGCAATTCTAGGAAGCAGAGAAACGAAGGGCGACATCAAGATTGCAGAAACGGGCGCCGGCAGGAACGAACCAAATTGTTACGGACGTGGAATCCCTAAGCGGACAATTAACGAATGTGAAAAAGTCACTCATTTAAGTTCGAGACAGATACCTTCCTTACCACCTTTTTGGGTTTATTCTAAATATTTTCAAAATGTGACAAATTTTGATATTATCAACATGTGCTACCAAATTTTGTAGTTTTTCAGTACGTTTAGTTTTCTATCATATCGAAGGGATTTTGTTGTAACGGAAAGAAACATGAATAATTATGTATGAAGCGAGAGCAGTCTGTAGCACAAAGAATGCATCCTCTATACCTGACAAGACAAATACGCAATTTTGATCCGCCTGCATACCCAAAACAACCAATTTCAGCAAAACCGGAACCTGATCATTGAATGCCCGAATTCACCACGTCCTCCTTTTCTCCTCCAACATTCGCATAATAGTTGAATCTTGTTAGTAGGCAGAATACCAAATTAATGAGTTTGAAGTGTGTCACTTTATCAATTAAAGAGAATTCAAAGCTAAGAACCTGAAGCTGGGAGGAAAGCTTACTTTATACAATACAACACCTTCCAGTAATGAGCAGCTTATTGAAATCAATCGGTACTGAAGCACCAAACCTTTGTGACAAGTGACAAGGAGGTAATTCCATTATTCTTTTAAAATGACTGATCTGAATGTAAAAAGAACCCTATAACTAGTGATACGTTATAAATATTAGCAAATACGAATGGCTGACAGCTATCTAATCTTTAATATAATATACAGACATATTTCACATCTTAATAAGTTGTCATGATTTAAAGGTACATACATTCAAGTATTTATATAAATATTCTAGTTGAACAGAACCCATCTTTTATTCGTACGAAATTATTTCCGCAAAATTGGAAAACTTCTAAATTCCGCGTTACCAGTCTGATGAGGACGTGATACACATGTGACTAGCTTTATATGTAGTTGTACAATATGCACAATACTTTAAAGCAGTTACAACATCTACATAAAAAATATTGCTCGTTAAATATTTCTACTACTTTTTCCATGTGACAACCTCTTCTTCATTATCATACATATGATGCCGGCCTATTGCTAAGCAACTTGTATTTTGAACCTTGCTTGAATACTTATTAAACCCAGAACTCTTTAATTGGCAAAGAATCCTTCATTCCAATATCTTAAATTTTGGAGGCATCAGTTTGATTAAATATTTACTATATGTCAATTATCTATAGTTTATATGGATATTTATATTAATATAAATCTTAATGCAATTTATAACAATCAGATTCGGTGTAGAGGGGAAAGTCGCATTTTATTACATAATTTTATTTGATGGGGTTCTATACACATAAGTCCAACGTATCTGTCTGTGCAGGTAGAAAAGCACACATCATATCCAAATCTATAACTTTTTCGAGTTTTAGTCAAAGTTGGCTGTATGCATATTTAATACTAATTGAATGGGAATGAAATAAATATTTGTAATAATTATAGGTCAAGCAAGACAGCTAATCAAAAAATTTCATATTGGTGTCTAACCATTAAATCAAATCTGGTACTAATTAAATTCTAATAATCCATTCGAATACGGAGATATCTAAGACTTATTATATTAACGATAAACGGTTAATCTGTACATTTGTGTCAATTTTAACATGAAATTACCTCAATTAAATATGAATTTATTAAATTAACTTTCCTATGATATAAAAAATAGTACCCATTTCCACATGTTGAATTTATTTGTTAATTTGTAATCTTTACTTATGTTGTATTCGTTTTCTATATGTTATTTAAGACAAACTATGTTAAGCTACCTCAAATTTTACATCCCATCGTACAAAGTGTAAAATATTTATTTTGATGTGTAATGTGTAATTTTAGTGGCGTCGTATCAAATGACGTTATATAACCATGAAAAAACTGTTGGAGACATCCAATGTTGGGAAGCTATACATATACACCTTCCTCTTGGTAACAAGATTTGGTAGGTCGAGCTAGTCTGTAAAAATCGAGAGAGATGAATGATGGAAAAAGGAAAATAAATCAATGACATTTCAATCCAACTATATAAATATGTTTCATGCTTTTATTTCATACTTATTTCACATTCAGTTCCTATATATCGTATAAATCACAGGTAAATTAACTAACATCATTTCACAGATTTACATTTATTCAGTTTAATGACAATTTTACATTGTTGCTAAAACCAATGTCAATCAGTCTCATTGGCAGTGGTTTCAAAATATAGTAAAGTACGTGAATCTGAAAATCAGTGCAAAGCACGAAGTATTTATATTGCTGGTCATAGTCCACTCAATCTCATACACAGCAGTCACAATGGGGTCAAGTATCTTTGTAAATGTAATAACATTATCTCATCATGGGTTGAACATACGCATATGTGCCAGCGTGTAATGGACTGCTCACGAATGTCACTTGGTTCAACCAATGTGCCTCCATGTAATCTTTGTCCAGCTAAATTCAGAAATGAATAATGTCCAAGAACTATCATTCCACTGGCAGCTTGTAAAATAAGTAAATATGCTAGCACAATCAGGCAGTAGAAAAAATGGCATGGTAGGTAAGGTTATCATGTCAAAGTGTAAGCAAGCAGGAAAATTTAATAATTACGTCGTTGTTATAAGCACTCTTTCATGGATAAAGCTCCTCGTACAATTGCAAGTCTCTGCATAGTTACACAAGCTCACCAAGACTTGGAGAAGAAACTGGGATTATCTCATATCGTCGACTCGACTCAAAATTTTCAAGACAAAAATATAAAATAAGCATCGTCCAATGTTGATGGAATAAAAATGGGTGAAAAACTAAAATCAAGCAAAGTCCAAAAACATGATCCAGAAAGGAAAAGTTTCATAATGAGAAATAAACTCTTCGCCATACCTGTGGCAGTTTTAGCCTGTGTGATTTACGCAACTTTTGCTCCAAGCAAAAGTCCAATTGTGCAAACCACGCTCGGCCAACTTCAAGGAACGGTGGGTCGATCAAGAGAAGGGAAGCCTGTCTACGAGTTTGTTGGAATACCGTATTCCGCTCCACCCTTATTAGACTTAAGGTTTGAGGTATGGCAATAAAATGTACCAATGTTATGTAAATTTTTCACCAATTCTGCAATTTTTCCGAATATTTAAAAAAATTTACAATATTCTAGCCACCAACTCCTCCTGTGGCATGGGAAGGCGTGAAGCAAGCAAACCGATATGGCTCGCAATGCCTGCAGATTGATGTTATAACCAGCATTAAACTTGGTTCGGAAGATTGTCTTTATTTGAACGTATTTACTCCGAAGGTATATCTTTGATTCGGGAATTAAGTAGTTTTATAGGGCTTAACTAATGAATAATACATTAATTGATGTATTTATACTGTTAACACTAGTGTAATTAGTTTACATGGATTAAGTTGTAAAACAAAGTGTCGCACATTCTGAGTATTTTGTATGCTTTGTTCTCATAGGATCCTATGGACAGTGGAAACAAATTGCCAGTTCTGTTCTGGATTTACGGAGGGGGTTTTCAGTCAGGTTGGTTTAGTACAAAGTTGGAAAAGTAAAGTTTACCATTTTTATACTTATTAAAACGATAGGAGGATCACACATTTATCGACCTACATATATTATGGATGAAGAGGTGCTTTAATATTTGTAAGGTTTGTATTGTAGAGTTTTGTATGCCGGGTTCCAATTACAGGTGGTCTTTGTAAGCATCAATTATCGACTTGGTGCAATGGGTATGTCAATGCACAGTATAATTCATTACTCATGCAGGCACTACTTGGATGTTTGATAAGTTAATTGACGTTTTATTACCTCTTGAAGGATTCTTGAACTCTGGCGATAGTTTGATAAGAGGCAACCAAGGAATGAAGGACATAATTCAAGGATTAAAGTGGACACAGGATAACATTCACAATTTTGGTGGAGATAATAAGTCGGTGACTATTTTTGGAGAATCCGCAGGCATGTAAAATGTTTTATTCATATTTTATTCATATTTTGCTGGAAAACCTATCAAATTTGCAGTTTGGCAAGTTTTACTCATATTACAACACAATTTTAGGCGGTGGTGCTGTTCATTTTCTTATGCTATCTCCTCTCTCGAAAGGTGATTACTCATATATGCATGTACATATGTAGCAATAAATATATGTAAAAATTTATATTTATGCACTTTTTCCTTATACATATCAACACACTTGCAGGATTGTTCCATAGAGCGATTTCACAATCTGGAAATGTTCTCAATGCCTGGCTGTATTCAAGATATCCGAAAGAGCAGTCTCAAAATTTGGCAAATAGACTGGGGTGCCCTGTCGAGCCGTCGGACGAGATGGTTAAATGCTTGAAAATGGTGGATGCCAAAGATATTGTTGAGACACACCGAGAGATGAGGGTATTTTTATAAACTGCAGATACACTCGAGTTGATCAGCTAATTGATCTACGTATTTGAATCAAATGAATGGTAACAATTTGTTACACAATTTAGCTGCCACCGAGACCGCTGTTAGGAAAATATGCACCTTCAGTGGAGGCAGTTGTGGATTCCTCGACCTTTCTCCCAGATCAACCCATTGAAATGATGAAACGAGGACAATTCGCAAAGATTCCTTGGATGTCAGGAGTGGATTCCGAGGCAATTTGATTTGCTATTTTTAAACGTTATTGTAACATTTGTACACTGTTGCTTATAACGGTTTGATTGTAGGAAGGACTTCCATTTGCAACAGGTAACTTGGGTGGCAGCCAGAAGTGCTTTCACTTACATAAAGTGGAAATACATTCACTTACATGTTTGACCATTATTTGTTCGGATTCTCAGAAATTCTTGAACAGCAATTTCTCGTCGATTGGGCAAACCGAGACTGGGATGATTTTATTACACAAGTTGTTTTTCTCAACGTTGCTCCACAAAGACCGAATAATACTCCGCAGAAACTGAAAGAGTTTTATCTCAATAATTCCACTTTCTGCAGCATCAAAAGCTTTCGTGGTCTATCTGAGCTTCATGCTGCAAGATTTTTCTTTGTTTCTGGACATCACACAGCAAAATATCATGCTCAGCATGCTCCAGTGTACCTCTACTACTACGATTACCCCACAGAATTTGGCTTTCTAAAATTAATGCACTCTCTCCGTGGAAAATATTTTCCTGTAGTAGAAACTGTAATGGAAATTGTGTGGCATTGGGTACAAAAAATTCTTGGCTTAAAAATCCATAGACGAGGTATATGTTTGTTTACTACATATGTATGTCCTTCTAGAGTTGTTTAGATACTCATTTTAAAATCTTAACTTATTTGCAGGGTCATCACATGGGGAGGAGATGTTGCTACAATTTGACTTTCCTTTTATCCCAGGGGCACCAGTTGGGTCTTCTGATTATGAAATGTCCAAAGCCCTCATCAAGTCATGGGTCACCTTTGCTTCCGATCCGTACGAGTCATAAATATTTGATTTAGATAATAATAATCTACTACGAAAAATTCCAAGCATTTTATTTATGCAGAGCTAAATTGACGTTTAAATCTCATAAATGGCCTCCCCATGATCCCAAGTCATCCAAACTTACTTACATGGAGATCTCACCTGGATCAAAAGGAATGATAGCCGAACCATTTGCTAATCAAGTGGAGTTTTGGAATACCTTGAACATTATTTAAAACCAACATATGAAAAGCTATAATAATATATGAATACCGACTTTATATTTAAAGAATTTTCGCATATTTTTCGAGCAAAGGAAATGCCATCAAGTTCGAGAAAATTTAATCCTAGGTCTGCATAAACTATTTCAAGATTACGCAATTCGCATTGTGATAAAAATCCTATTTTCTCATTAAGTAAGATTATTAAAGCAAATAGTACAGCACAAGCAAACGCGTCTGGTGATAATTAGAGGCATTCAATCATCGTCATTATATGAATTAAACTGGTATATGTACATGTACGTTTAGACACATGACAATATGTGCACACTCAATAAAAATACAATGCATGGATTGACCTAACGTGTGACAATCTAGTTCTTATGCTATCACACGATGCATTGGGTCCGATTTCGTGCTGGATGTGTACTATACATGGATATTATGGATAGTGGTATTAAAATACTCTCGGTAGGGTCAGCTTGTCCACTGTTATTTCCTGAATTGGGACGTTAATAAATTTTTGGAAACAATAATTTTATTGTCCAATGAGTCGGTATGTCCATTAATACAAGCGAAATGACATTATAGCGAAATTCATATGAACATCAGTCAATGCCTTGTGTGATAACATTTCTGTACCGACGAGTGACCATGAAATGAATATTGAGCAAAAAATCTTGCATGTTATGGATGCCTATGTATAATGCACGTAGTTGGTTTACATTACCTGCAGTTTCCAGCTGGCTATGACTTTGCGATAACTGGTAATTTAAGTGGCTGGCATTTCCACGTAGACTTAAGAATATGTATTATGTTTACCAACAGTAACCTCCAAACCTGTGGCAAGTCGGTTTAATTGGATTGAAATTGCAAGACAATTACTATAGCGTGAGAATACCTGCCACTTATAAATTCATGAGTAATTCGCATGTGTCACTGGAAAACCGTGTTTCCTAAAATATATAGAGCACTCAACAGTTAAACAATTAAATTAAGATTCTACTTAACTTTAGCGAATAGTCAACTGACAACCTTTATTAAAACCGTGCTATTTCTGTTGAAAAATCAATAATGTTTGGCAAGAAGACATTTGGAGCTGTGATTATAATATTTATTGCATATGGATATAATTTACATAAAAATAAAAAGGTTCCGAGTCCTGTGATAGAAACTGAGCTGGGAAAAATTCAAGGCATTGAATCAATGTCCAGAGGAGGTAAACGTCTGTATGAGTTTTTAGGCGTCCCTTACTCGGCACCACCTGTTAACAAGCTCAGATTTGAGGTGATTTACAATTTTACATGAGAGGAAAACATGACAATGCAAAATATAATTTTGCTCCCTAACCTTCCTCTTGTAACGATTGAATGCTTATTAAAGCCTCCTCAACCAGTCGCCCCGTGGGAGGGGGTCAAAGATGCAAGCTTTTATGGATCCGAGTGTGCTCAGCTCAGATTGATTACTGGGGATTATGCTGGTCATGAAGATTGCTTATTTTTGAATATTTTTGTTCCGAAGGTGATCTTTTACTACTATGCAAAATTTGTATGCAAATATTCTTAAGGAATCTGGTTTTCCATGTGACTACTATTTTATTTCATACAAATAGGAACGCAAAGGACTCCTGCCAGTTATGGTCTGTCCTTTAACTACATAATCGCAGCCACGTTGAAATTACTGTACTAAAAATATTTATTGATTTGGTAATATTACTTATTTATTTATTATAGGTTTTCTTGCACGGCGGTGCGTTCGTTACGGGTAGGATAATATTGATACAATTTTTAAAATACTGATCAAAAATATTCCAACATTTAATCTCCTGAATGAATAGGTAGCTCAAACACCTACAGACCGGGGTATATCTTAGACGAAGACGTAATTCTAGTAACTCTGAACTATCGATTGGGTGCCCTCGGTAAGTATATCACAAACTAATTAAGTATTGGAATATATGTATGCTGTAGATCACAATTCCATAACCTACTTAAATTAAAAATTACAGGCTTCCTTAATTCAGGGGACGAAGTGGCGAGGTAAATTTTGTGGCTCCGATTGGATAATGTAGTCTTAGACCTGAGCAATGTTACATATTTTCTGTTTGACTCAGAGGAAACGCCGGTTTAAAAGACCAAGTCATGGCTTTACGTTTTATTCAAAAGCATATTGGCGTGTTTGGTGGGGACAACAAAAACATTTTGCTATTTGGCGAATCGGCAGGTTCTGCGTCTGCCAGCTTCCATTTAGTTTCTCCAATGTCCAAAGGTATACGCGATTTACTGAACTTGTTTATTGGAGTCATTCTTATTTAAGATACATATTTCCGCATTTTTTGCTGCAGGGCTATTTTCCAAAGCGATTATGCAAAGTGGGACCTTTAGTAGCAATTGGGCTGTGTGGCCTGAACCTGCAAAGCAAGCCAAACGGTTTGCCGGAAAGTTTAATTGCTCACTAGAAACAAGTAAAGAAATGATTGAATGTCTAAAAAATGTGGATACTCGAACATTTGTAGAAGGTCACAAAGAGATATTGGTATGCATATGAAAGTACTAATTAAGTACTTTGACACTTTTGTTAAAGTGTAATATGTATGAATTGTTCCTCAATTCTGCATTGTGTGTTTGATTGACGTATTTGTTTTAGCTTCCATTAAGAGAACAAATAACAATTTTTGTTCCGACGATTGAAGCCGTGAAGGATGAAAACGCTTTCTTAACGGAAGATCCAGTCAAAGCTCTGAAAGACGGAAAAGTCCACAAGGTTCCAATATTAGCTGGCGTGAATTCACAGGAGGGACTATTAACATCCGCAAGTACGTACATACATATATACGTATGTGCATATCTAATACATAATGTATGCTTATACATATTTTCTAAAACTCATTACTAGTTATAACTGGAAATCAATCGAAATTGGATCAAGCCAACAATGAGTTTAATTTCTGGGCGGGAAGAATTTTGTACTATCCTCAGGAGAAAACAGACATTTCAGCTAAAATTCGAAACTACTATTTTGGAAATGTTAAAAGCATTGCTACCAAGGACCTGGTGCAGAATTACACTAACTTATTCTCAGATCGAATGTTTTTCGTCCCTTTGCATAATTTCGCCCTGGAATACAGAAAACATGCTTCGCTTCGACTGTACTTTTACACTCATAAAGGACAATTTAGTTTGGCACGGTTATTAGCGTCGTCACAAAAGCCTTACTTGCCCCCACTTGTAAATGTGATACTTGACATGATTGTCAGATGGATTAAGGAACATGTCCTAGGGTTTGAAATACCACATCCTGGAGTATGCCACGCAGATGAATTGCCATTGTTTTACGATTGGCTATTGGGTCCTGCTATTACAGAACAATCCAAAGACTATGCAATGTCAAGAACTCTAATCAAAACATGGACTGACTTTGCTCACAATGACAAAACATTGACATGCAATTCCGTCGAATGGGAAACGGTTGATCCAAAGTCCCATAACTTATTCTACATGGAATTAAATACTGAACCAAAAATGATTAGTGAACCCTTTGAAAATCGAGTACAGTTTTGGAAGTCACTTGGTGTATGATGAAAACGCCGCAACATAACTTTGATTATTTATCGGATGTTAATTCAAGTCAAATATAAAAGGCAATAAACTACCTCCAAAATTAAGAGTATTAAAAATTGAATACAAATGCGTCATTTTTATTTGCGTGATATATTTCAGAGACCAATTTTTACGACATGTGTTGCTTGCTGATGAAATGTTTAATGTCCTTTGTTCAAAATCGTTAAATTAACACCCTTTGATTGTACCACATACGCCTCCTGAAGTTTATTTTTTTTAGTCACTCCTATATTAAATATAATAGTACGTGTATAATACTAAGGACTCCTAAGACTTAATTCCAATCGAGCTAGGTTGATTTTACACAATGCGAGAATTCAGTTTTCCAGCAACAAACTTTCCTTCTTTACTTAAAGTCGTCCAAGCAAAAGTTTCTGCATCAATTCTTCTTCTGTACCTCGTGTCAAGAACCGTAGGTAGTTTGACATCCGATAATTCTGGAAATGATGACGGTGACGATAAAGGTGGTGGGTCATCTCATAAAATTGCGCTAATTAATCCTCAAGACCCGTATGAGAGCAACACGGGGATAAGTACGTGGGGCTACAAGCCAGAACCAGATAAACCATTAGTCTTTGAGTTTAACAACCTCAATGACAAACATAAATCTAATAAGAGACCTGGTTATTCTCGCGACAATTTCCAAGATTCGGATGACTCAGAAATAAAAACACATAGAAATCAGGCAATAAAAGTGTATCATGAAACCGACACGGTGACAGAGTCAAGTATTACTGACGTACCCTCGTTGGATACTACACATAATCAGAAGCAACAAAAAGTGATTATAATTTTATGAGATTGAAGTCCATGTGATAAAATTTCATATAATGAGTATTTTTCATTATTAAACAGGCGCCATTCAAAGCGAAAGGACGAAGTTTTAATAATGCAGTTGGTAATCAAACAAGCAATGAGACGAATAATCGTTCTGCAGATGCACCTTTAATGCATCATGAAGATAATGCAGGTACACTTTATGAGGTTAGTTTTATAATTTGCATGTTTATATGTCATTTTCCACTAAAACTTCCGCGTAATCCAATTACATAATATATCTCATTTTGCGATTGAGAGCTATTTGAATCTATATTTTTTAAATCAGAATCCAGAAGTAAAATTAAGCGATATTGTGAAGGAGTACAATATGCGGTTGGGAATCGTACCTTCGACTGAACACGAAAATACTGCAGATCATAATCAACCTGATGAATATGGAAATATCAACGATGGCGATTTGTCTGCATTTTTACCATGCAATTCTAAAACTTGCGGTTTAATATGCTCTGAAACCAAACTCGCAAAATGCGATAAACATAATAGCAAAATTTGTCTATGCCCGGCTTTCAAATTCGTACCAGCAGAAACACCAGGAACCATTCGATTGCCAAATTTACAAAATGACGTATCGGAAATAGCTTGCGACGAATCCTGCACTGCAAGATTTGCATATGCTCGAGTTTTGGAAAACTTAAATGGAACCAAAGAATGCATTTGTATCACCAACCAGGCAAACAAACAATGAAAAACATACTTTAATTCCAAATTATTTTAAAAGCATTAATCTTGAATTGCAGACAAGCAGTAGCGGTATCACCTTTTGTGACAGTGCTGCTAAAGTCGATATTTGCAAAACCATTTGTCAGTCCGATGCGGGTGAATGTGCATTCAACGGAATCTGTTTGTGTCGAGATAATTGGTCGGGGTTTATGAATCTATCAATGCCAAATGTTCGTCATGAAATTCCTTCTGATCATTCGGAGTGCAGCAAACGTTGCTCTCTGGTAAAATTTTTATTACATACTTTCCAGTGTAATTGACTTGCATAACTATTCTACTTATCCTTCATTATAGTTCCATCATGATTTTATTGGCCGAATTCATGACTCTCTGACGTCTCAAACTGATAAACCCCATAAATTCCAATCAAAATATTGCCTTTGTGCTCCGGAGTCTTCGATTTTGACTTACAAAGAAACACATGTAAAGAAAAAAATAACGGTGCAAGTTTGATCTAAGCTTTCCATATTTTTTCAAATTATGCTAATACCTGCTCTGCTAACAGGAAATAATGGCACAAGGATTTCAAATTTGTTCAGGTTATTTCGATTATAATTCAAATTCATGCAATAATTTTAGTTATATTCAAGATTTTTTTCAAATTTGCCCAGGCCTGAAGTGTAAGAAACGATGTGGAATGCGCGACGCAGTTTGTGAGCCCCAATATCGAAGGGCGTGCCTTTGTCACAGGCAGAATATTTTTATCGGTTCGCACCTCTGGTCCCGTTTGCCGAATCATAAGTATTTAGATTATTTATTGTGCAGCATACATACATATTAAGAGAAAAGTTGTGTTCTTATTTTAACAGTTTTAAATCTTTTTCAGCGAAAAATTTTGTCAAGATTCTTGTTTTGCGCACGGTCTCTCAGCTCGAGTCATTGAAAAGAATCCACTTTTTTCCCCATCATCTGAAAGATTTTCGCCGTGGTATCGATGGTCAATGTTCTCTTTCGTATATGATGGCAAATTTTGTCATTGCATTAAAGTTGTAAGTACATCAATACAATAGGTAGAAACGCACAGAATAACACCAACAAATCTTCCCTAATGCAATTTATAGGAATTGGAAATGAGCCAATTTCGACCATGCACTGACGAAATCTGCAGATGGATTTGCGGTAAGTTAATAATAACATAACACTTAAAAACGTATTTATTGCAGATTTGTAATTGTATTCGTAGTTATTAATTACGGCGTTTATAATTCCACCCCCACCCTTATAATTTTTCTGTATAGTAACATTACAATTTTAGGTCATGATAATGGAATTTGCGACATAGAGTCAAGACGAAGTTGCATTTGCAACACTCACAAACTGATTGCTGGGCTTGGAAGAAAGCCATATCCTGGAGAAATAAATTGTGACACATCGTGTCGCCATCACTTGATGGACGCTAGGCTTCTCGATGTGACATGGGATACAAACCAATTGGATGGATGGGGTGTAACTAAAAGCAAATTTTGTGGGTGCATACGAGAAGTGAGAAACCAATAACGCATATCATAATGCATAATATATTATGTAGTAAAGTGACTTCACTAAAGTCACTAGCAAATCTCACGTATTACTAATGATAGACTACTGAAGCTGGACTCACTCATTGTGACGGAGGAAATGATGACTTGTGTCCAAAATTCTGCAACAACTCTGAAGCATTCTGCACAAGGTTAGTTTTTAGACATCTAAAACTTGAAGGTTAAAGAGAGGAGAAAAAGTGACTTACTGGCAGCGCAGACCAGTCTTGAGGACTTTGACATTTTTCACCCTCGATGGAAAGGAACTCCAAAGTTTCGTTATTATTTGATAAGAAAATAGAAGGAGGCGTCTGTGCGTTCTTAGAAACATGTTGTCTTGATTTTCAGAGAGAAATACTGTGAATGCGGCATTGATGCTCGTCGTCTCTTAAAAAATGGAACTGTTCGACTTCCCACCGGCCCTGAAAATGAGGAATGCGGCGAAACTTGTAGATCGTTAGTTGTTGACTAAATTTAAATTTAAGATTAAATGTATATCGATAATTAATGGATGACTAATACGAATTTTAGATGGATGTGGCCACTGGCAGAGGATCTGGACAGAATACCGTTGATTTATGATGAGGGACGTTTGAACTGCTCAAAAACGAATTCTTGCCCTCGTGTCGAATCTCCTCGGGATTCCAGCGCAATAGGATTTCGTGTTGAGAAAATCATGAATGGAGGTTTCGAAGTTAAACCTCCAAGAAAATTTTGCCTTTGTTCAAAAAGTACGACGGTTCATTACAAACCTGGAACAAGAATCCTGCCGCAATTGGTACCTTACAAAGCCCATGGTTTAGAATGCATTGGAAACCATACCTGTGTTGCAATTGGAAATGCTATTCATATAAAGTAAAGGCAATACAATTACTAATTACAGTATTTTCGTACACGAGGTCGTTATTGCATAATACTACAAAATACAAGAGCATGCATTGCCTATTTTGTGACACTGAAGAAAAACTTAATGATTGTAATATGTACTCTCGAGTTAAAGTTGTTTTGAAGACGTCCGACTGGAATCATAGCGGAAATCCCATAAAATAACCTTGATTTTTAATGGAACGGTGCACATGTATAATTGCATAGGATTTTGTTTTGGCAACGATACAAAAAAAATTATACCATACAAATGCACCTGCACACCTAAATCTCTATGTATCTCGTACACCTGTCTATACAACACAATGTTTTTTTTTCGTTATAATGCATGAGCTGCCCTTGGGTTGAAAGCTACTAAAAAACCTGATCAGACCGACTGATGCAAAACCACCTTATGCTTCTCGCGGAAAATTGCATGACTTTGTACAAGTGAAATAATTCTGACATGGTAGTTAATAAAAACCAACAAATTGAAAAGCATCAAGTTGAAACTCGAGGAAAGTTTTTTAACTGATTGCAGTAAAATGTATAAAATATTCACTGGCTTTTAGAAAGCAGAAATGGAAAAGAAAGAGTTACTAGCAGGGTTTTTAGCTCTTGCAACTGGATATTTACTGGTGAATCAGTTAAGACCCGAAGATGGACCAATAGTGGAAATTGAAAACGGTTTTATTAAAGGAGTGATCAGATATTCCGATGGTGGCCGTCGTCCGTACAAAGCGTTCTATAAAATTCCATACGCGTCGGTAAATTCAAAAACGAGATATGCAAGTTATAATATATATACGGTGCTAAACTATACGTTAATGATACATCCTACATATGTATAAAGCCCCCAATTGGGGACTTACGGTTCGAACCGCCCGTGCCAGCCCAAAATTGGTCAGACGTAAAAGGTGGGTCGTATTACGGATCTCAATGTATCCAAACCGATATAATTTGGTCAGGATTAAGTTTTGGGTCAGAGGACTGTCTCTTTTGCAACGTTTTCGTTCCACTTACTGTGGTAAGAATATAATTGGTTTGCCAGTCAACAAACTCCAATTTAAATTGTTTTAAATAATTAAGTGGAATTTATTAATCTTATGCATTCGCCTTACGTAATACAGAGACCAAGTTCAACTCCTTTACCCGTCATGGTTTACATTCACGGTGGTTATTGGCATGTTGGTATGTAAGATGGTGTAATGTCAAATTAATTCGTTGGTAGCCAAAGATTTCTTATCTGTATATTATTTCAAAGGATCTGCGCAGGATCATGGAGAGCCTCGGATAATGAATGAGGATGTAATTTTAGTCACATTCAATTACAGGCTTGGAGCATTGGGTAGTCATTCCAAGTTTTTCACATTCATTGACACGTAGTAGAAAACTAAAATGGATACATTTTTTCAATATTTTCCTACGGCGTAGGTTTTCTCTCCACTGGTGATGAAACTCTTCGCGGAAATGCTGGCCTACAGGACCAATTAATGATGTTAAAATGGGTAATTTAAGTGTATTTCTACGATGATGAAGTATAATTGCAATGCAAATTATTCGTTTTTTAGATTCAGAGGAATATTCATCACTTTGGTGGGGATCCCAATAGGGTCACCATTTTTGGAGGTAGCTTGACTTGGTCATCGTAAAAACTCGAAGGAATTATTTAGGAACATTTACATAATTTTTATTATAATGGTAGAGTCAGCAGGAGGTGTTTCAGTTCAATTTCACATACTCTCTCCAGCCTCGAGGGGTCTTTTTCACAAAGCAATATCACAAAGTGGAACCGCAATTAATTTTTTTTCTAAAAACACTCCTGCTGAAGTTAGACGCCAATCAAAAAATTTTGCAGAAAAGTTTTCGTGCCCTTCAGATGACAGCAGAAAAATGGTGGAATGCTTGAAGAGATTGGATGCTGGTGATATCGTCAGAGCTCATAGAGAAAACGTGGTATTAAACCAGAATGATCCTCAATATTCAGTGCAAAGACGAATCATGAGCAGTAATTTCATACACATTCCTTAGGATATTTTTAAACGAAATCGTTTAACAATGTTTGCGCCAACTATTGAAGTCATTAAAGACGATAAGGCGTTTTTGACTGAGGACCCTCTGATTACATTAGAGAAAGGGAATTTTGCTAAAATCCCGTGGATCACAGGTATTATACCAAATTTAGAATACAACACGTTAAATAACAAGATCAAGTGTATTTTACATGATTAAAATAAATGACTTTTACACGATACAAGGGGTTTGTGGTCAAGAAGGACTATTTGGGTCAGCAGGTATGCAACCCTTACCTTGATAATTAACTAATGTGCCCATTTTAGACAGTGGCTACTACATTCAACAATTAATTATCACAATTTAAATGAAATATTTGTATTATTCACACAGGTATAATGGCCAATGAAACGAAGCAAAATTTCATTAGGAAAGAATTGAGCACAAGTCTCCCATCGTATCTTTGGTACAACAAGGACGATACCTTGACAGAAAAAATTCGAGACTATTACTTTGGACCTTCCATTACAGAAGAAGAGTTTGCAGAAAATTTGACTGACATGCTTTCCGACAGAGCATTTTTTCACCCTCTTCACAAGGCTGTACACCTGTATTCGAAGCACGCTGAAACTTACGTATACTATTTTAATTATAGCGCGTTTTATACGCTTCAAAACCCAATTGCCGCTTCCGAGGCATATTTTAGAGCATTCAACATGGTTATCAACGTTATTTGGAGGTCAATTAAAGAGTTTGTTTTTGGATGGCCGGACGCACATCATGGGACTTGTCATGGTACATCCTTATATTGCAGTACTCGTAGGTTAATTATTTACCAGAAAATGTTGATATTATTATCAGGTGATGAACTCCCCTTGTTGTTTACTATGCCATGGATCCCCTCTATTTTCTACAAGTTAACAGAAAAAGATGCAGTCGTTTCTAAAAATTTCATACGGCTTTGGACCTCCTTTGCTAAATCGTGATATACAAAATATATTTAAATATCAAGACTTGTTTATGCATATATTCAGATTTGTCATTTAATAATTATATTGTACGCAGGGACCCTCTAATTTTCGATGATGTGGAATGGAAATCGGTGAATTCTACAGCAAATGTACCATTTCGTTACTTGGAAATAAGTCAAAATCTGAGAATGATTGATGAGCCGTTTACTACAAGAGTTGGGTTTTGGAAGTCAATTGAGAAGCATTTAATAAAGGCAACTATGTGTGATACATGAAACTATGCATAAGTTTTTAATCAAGTACAAACTGTACATCGGCAAAGATAAATTGACAGTGAATTTTATAAGTGATGTTACAAAATAAAACTAAATAACGACTATACTACTACTGGCAGTGGTTGTGATGCATATTATGATACAAATATGTATAGATTTATTTAACAACAGCAAATCTGCATCGCTCTTGCCTGATCTATTTGACCTCCGCCATATTCTCCAACGCCATTTTGCGATGGGCGACAAATTTTTGCACGCCCATTTGACTCGACCAAAATTGTGCATGTAAATGTCACGACGGTGCATTTTTTACCATTTCCACCACTTCCATTTGATTCAGAAGCAGGTTTCCAATAAGTCGGATAAAATCCTTGCAATAGTTCATTTCCGGGTGCCAACGTCTGCTGATCAGTTTGTACCGAAATGCTGGGAGAATATTCGCCATTATTACCATTTCGCCCACGTGTTGTTTGAGTTGCTGGAGCATAATATTGCCCATTTGTACGTGATGACTGCTGATAGTGTGGCGAAGTGGAGGTTTGCTGTCCATTGTAATGTGAGACAGTGGGCCCAGTGATTGGTCGTTGAGTTGTAGGTATGACGTGTGAAGCCCGATTGTTATTTGCAAATTGTTCATTAACGTATTGTCCATTTTGAAGGTATGGTTTAATATAACCGCCAGAAGTGGGAATGTACCCATCTTGAATTGTATTTCTTGTCAAATTCTGGTTATAATTAGTGAAAATACTGTGGTTTCCAGAGTATATTGGTTGTGAAATTATTGGAGGTTTTGTCGTAGGAAATGAGTCATATCCACGAGCATAACCCAAATTTGAAGACCTTGAAGTTTGTGTGTCATGCTGCTGCTGTGGATAAGTTGACCAATCACTTTCCTCATATTGTGGACGATAGAATCTCGCCGTTCCTTGTCCCAAGTGCACCATTTGAATTTGTGCTTGAGCTTGACCACTTCCTGATGCTAATGCATGAGGAAGACCTGCACCTCCGGCATAAGCAGTTGATCCCCTTTCACCCCCATATCCTGATCCAGAATTAGAAGCGACATAGTCATCTTGCTTCGATATTACAGACCGAGGGGGATACTGTCCTGTGGATTGAAAATAATTCCCTGCATCTTGGGTACGAGGGTAATTCCCAGCAGAATGAATATTTCCATGTGGCCAAGGGTACTGGGAACTGGGCCGCTTATAATTAATGTCATTTGTTGTTCCTGTTCCACTATGACCAGGTGAGAAGCGGCCTTGACCCCTAGAATTCTCAAAATCAGTCCCATGTTCATTTACAGGGTGAAACATTTGACTTGATCTACTCCCAAGATCCGGTAGTTGTGGTAAATTTGCATTATTTATGGTCGAAACCGGAGGAGAAGTTTGGTGCAATAGATTGCTTGCCCCGTTGGAAATTCCATATGAATGTTGTCTACCAGTACCAGGTACCTGGTAACCATTGAAGTTGTCTCTTCCATCCCTTATTCCGTATGGGGTTTGACTTGGTCTTTGATCCTCATATCCTGGATATCCTCCAAAATTCCGAGCCACCGGATGGACAGGACTACCTGGTTGTAAGTCAAACCCTCTCCTGCTTCCTCCTGAATCATGATGAGCGAAACCATCGGATATGTGGTCGAATCGGTCATTTGCTGTAACTCCAGCACTTGCCATTGATCCTCTGCCATATTGTCCAAGATTAACTTGAACCTGGGATGTAAAAGGCCCAACACCACTACTTCCGGCCTGTCCTGACCCGCTAGACTCACCGAGGGATATCTGGGCTTGGGCGTTTCCAGCCGAACTTCATTGTACAATTCAAGAGAATTTATATTGTCAAAGCTATTTATTAATGATGTTGTATTTCCAATGTGCTTTTAATTAATGGTTTTGAATTTTATGTAAATGAGAGCAATATTTATATTTTAAAGACTCTTTACCTTGACACACTTCCCAAGATCCCTGTTCCCCCGAGCTGAACTTGAGTTTGACTGGAACCGCTTTGCTGAGATTGAGCTTGACCTGAAAAGTAGCCTTGACCTGACACTTGCCCTTGTATTTGAGACTGGCTTGATCCTCCTATTTAAATGCATTTGACATTCATAAGACTTATTAATATTTTTTTATTTAATTGGTACTGAAAAAATATGTTCTAATGGCGTTAATGTTTCATGCAAAATAACAATGGGTGACATGACGTGAGCTGTAGCCTTGTAGCTGCAGATAAAACAAATAACAAACCCATGCCAAAAGTGATCAAATAAAAAAGTACAAACCTGGTTTTGCGTATTGAACACCTCCACCAGGATACCAGTGCCCCGATGATCGCTTATTTCTAATAATCATCGATCCTAGTTGGTCTGTAATTCCTTCACCTGGCATTGTTCTCTGGTTCACCAACTTAGACAAATCATACACATGAAAATTTCCACAAAATTGCAACTGTATGGATGTCATGTTTTTAGTATTTTCTGGCTCTGTGTTTAGAAAATCAGAGGTTGGAATAATCAAATGGCCATATTTCCAAAGTGAGTCAAGATTTTCGGCAAAACAAGTTTTTCGCATTTCATCCTTGTAATAAATTTTCCCCTGTACAAAGTAGTATCGAATATTTCAAAGTTTCTGGAATGTATGTGCACAGTAGTACGAAGGACAAAAAAATCATAAAAAAATATCTTACTGATTCAAAATCCACAAGTACAAAAATATCGCCACCACCGACATCATATCCCTGTTCAATGTTTTCGTCCTGTATTGCTGCTGTTATCTGAAATTACAAAGAGTGATTCACAAGGACGATAAATACTTGAAACACGTATGTGATCGTACAAATCCCAAGCTTCCAATGAATACCAATCCAAGTAACTGTATTCGAGAATTTAAAAAAGCTTTATATTTGCACATTTTCGCTAAACAATGTAAAAGTGAAATGGAAACTGTTGAATATTGATAAGAATATTATCCAGACTAGCAGTTCCATGAATCTTTAGGCATGATTATACTCCTTCACATTTGTATGTATGTACAACCGAAGAAGTCTTTTGCAAAAACATAGCCAGACATAAAGTCATGACCCTAAAATTCATTCAATCGATTGATCGCATGAATTTTACAAAGATTGGTAATGACGATGAGAGACATACATGAATTTGCAAATTTGTTCATTGACATATATTTTTTATTTAATTCTCCAGTCTTTTCCCATAGTGCATTTCATCGTTAACATAATTCGCGAAAATACGTCATATGCACATACTTTAATATTTTTAACAAACAATTGCGAACTACTACTACTTATATGACAAGTAATTAGTAAAATTGTTCATATAGTAAAATTATATTACATTTTTATATGGCCGGGATATGTATAAATTATTAAAACACTAACTGTAATCGAGTCAATAAATTTGCATATAAATGTAAACATGTGTATGTACACACATAGTTGTGTTAAATTACGTAGGTACTATCAACTATTAAGGATAAATAAATGCAATGTAGCTACACAGTTGTACATGCTTATTGTCCAGTGTATTTTAATATTTCAATGAATTTGCATAATTGCTTATAGTTTTGTTAAATAACAATGTCAAACATTTTGAAAAGTAGCCTCTGAAAAATAAATCATAAAAACACGTTGGCAGTATTGCATACGTGATTGTTGTATGCGGAAAACTTGTTCTTGGAAAGGGTTGAATGTTGAATCTGAGCTGCAGGTAGGTAGAGAAGGTTCTTCACCTTATTCAACACCTGTACAGTTATTCGAGACTCATTCAGATTTACCTTCTGCCCACTTTTTAACGTGATTCTGCCTTCCTTCTCAACATTGGAAAATCTTCAAAAGTTAAGGCAATAATCTTGTGGGGTATGTACATATGCACGTAGGTAGACCTTCTTCACCACTATGCAATGTTTTTAAACACAATTTTTAACACGGCTGGTACAACTTATGTATGAATGTAATGCGGTACAACACTGAACGCCGATATGATATCAACTGAAACTCAACGTTTTTTTACAACCGTCTTTTTATACCAAGATAGTTAAAAAGTTGAGTAGCCGAATTATATTGTGACGCTTTTCTGTATTTAATAAAGCTGTCAAGAAGTAAATTGCGAACGTATTTTAGATAAAATTGCAAACTGTATTGTATTTAGTGTAATAATCGCAAATTATTGTTCATGAGGAAGTGACATAATATTTGGGATTGAGGTTAATCTCAAAATGTTTGACAACAAGAAAATTGTGTTTAGTGTCGTCATTCTATTTGGAGCTTATTTTGTGGATTACTATTTCATTCACAATGGTGAAAATACTACTTTGGACATGAGCAATGGAAAGTTAAAAGGAAAAGTCTCATTTTCTCGGGGTGGACGAGAATTTTACGAATTTTTGGGTATTTCTATGAATGGATTTTTTACATTTAACTATACGTATACAAACTGGTGCATGAATTACAGGAATTCCTTACGCCGACGTACCTGTGGGAAAATCACGATTTTTGGTAATATGAGAATATGAATGACATAAAAACATACTTATGTAGAGACAAATTATTTTATTATGTTTTAACCACAGTCTCCAAAGCCGAATAAAGCGTGGACAGGTGTTCGAGATGGTAATTAAGTAAAACATGTTATAAGGCAATAATAATAATAATACTAGAAATAACAAATCTTGTGTTATTTAGCCACGAAATACCAGTCAAAATGCATGCAAGTGGATATGCTCACAAATGTCAAGGGAGGGAGCGAGGATTGTCTTTATCTTAACGTTTTTTCTCCCAAAACTTTGGGAGAAATACCAACGCTCTTTCCCGTCATTGTTTACTTCCATGGGGGCCATTTCATGAATGGGGACGCAAGAATGTTTGGACCCAAATATTTCATGGACGAAAACGTAGTTTTGGTATCAGTGAACTACCGCCTGGCCAGCTTGGGATTTTTAAATGCTGGAAATAAATATGCAAGAGGCAATCAAGGGTTAAAGGATCAAGTCCAAGCTTTAAAGTGGATTCAAAAAAACATCGGTACGCAAATAAAATACATTTATATGGGTATAAATTTATTGTGATTTTTTCGTCTGTTCTATGTGCAGCATATTTTAGTGGAGACCCCAATCGAGTAGTTATCTTTGGACAGGTAATCTATTATACAATTTGTATATATAACAGACAGAATATAAATATATATTTATTCATTTTGATATTAAAATTGTTTCTCAGAGTGCAGGAGCATCAAGTGTACACTATCATATGCTGTCAAAAATGTCGACAGGTTTGAACAAAAGTTTACACTTGAACTCTAAAAATTTACTTACGATATAAAAGTTGCGTTCATCCAAATTATTATAGGATTATTTCATGGAGTAATTTCTGCTAGTGGAACTGCGTCAAGCCCATTTGCATTCCAGAAACAACCCATTGAACAGGCAAAGAAGCTCGGAAAAAAGTTGAGGTGTCCAAGTAATCGCAAAACAGAAGCAATGGTTGCATGTTTAGGCCAAGCCGAAGTGCAGAGATTGGTGGAAAGTCACAGAGAAGCAGTGGTAAGTGCGTAAGCGTATATTTGGCAGGTTAAGTAACAACTACAATACAAGCTTTTCTCCCAATCAGCACTTTCTTCATGACCCAATCGCCATGTATGGTCCAACAGTTGAAGTGGTCGATGACAATGAAGCGTTCTTAACTAAAAATCCTGTACAGATGTTAAAGGATGGAGAAATTGTAAACAATGTGCCATGGATTGTCGGCGTAACCACTAATGAAGGCCTTGCCAATGCTGCAAGTATGATGATGACACATTGATGATGAATATATTTTGTAATATGACGTGTTCTAAAAATGTATTTATTTTTTAACAAATTTATTAGCAATACTCCGCAATAGTTCCATGGTCCAAGTATTTGAGCAAAATTGGGAAGACAATTTTCCAAAGGTTTTCATCTACAAGTCTGAAGATTCATCAGTGCACAGAGCTATTCGAGAATTTTATTACGGGAAATCTGAAGACAACCAATTTGTTTCTACCGAGAAGGAAGGACAACTTAGCAAAATGTTTGGAGATCGAATGTGGGTGGTAAAAAGTTGTATTCTCCAAAGAAATATAGTGGGGATAAATAAATATTTACATATCTTACTTATTACAGGCATCTAACCCCCACTCACAATAGTGCTATTGCTCATGCTAAACAAACGGCCCCTGTTTATTTGTACCAATTTGCCCAACCTTCTGCGATGAGTTACGCTGATGTCATTTATAATCAAAATGGAATTTTGCCACCAGTTATAGAGATTGGAGCGTACTTGGCATATAAGTGGGTTGTGCGGTTATTCAGTGATGGGCCAGCAAATAAAGGTCAATACATATTACAAAGTACTTAATAAAGTTCAAGTTTAACTGTACAATTGGTTTTTTAGGAGTTTCCCACTTTGACGACCAAACATTCTTCTTCAACATACCATTCATGCCGGAGTATAAAGAAGGGGATGAAAATTATGCTTTGTCCAGGGACTTAATTAAATTGTGGGTTTCATTTGCCAAGGATGGGTAAGACAAGTTGAAATATGATCCAATTATACCTAACCAATGTCCACTGCATTCCAAGACTCCAACCTACATATTTATTTATACATGACTTACAAAATTTTTAGTAAACCGTCGGACTTCAACGGAGTGACTTGGAACCCCATTGATTCAGAAGCCAAATCTCGAGAGCTCAAATATTTAGAAATCTCGACCAATCCAAGAATAATTACTGAGCCTTTCTTCGACAGAGTTCAGTTTTGGAATTCTTTGAATCTCAGATAACTTGCATTTTAAAACTATCCATCTGTGTATTATGCATGTCTTTGGCTGGATGACTATTTATTTCGACTATTTATCCTTTATTTAATTGTTTGCATGCATATATATTTATAAAGTATTTATCGTCCGTCCTAGATACAAACTCGGTCGTCCGTGTTCGACATATGTATTATCGTAAAAAATGTGATGTTTATTGTTTAAAAATCGAGTAATAAAGCTATGTACATATACTACCCTTGTCTCATCTTATTAGTACGAATGCACCACTAGCAGTTACTTAACATATGCCGAGATGACTGCCAAGAAACCACTTCAAAAATAGTAACAGAGGTAGGACTAAGGTTTTTCATGTCCGACAACAAATCTATCCGATTACTAACACGACATTTTTTCACTGTCCCATAATAATCTCATAAAATGAGTTTTATTATTGCACATGTATACTATACTCCCCATCCATTTATTCATGCATTTCTGAGGTGCATTTGATTATTCGCCGTTCCGTTTTTTCGTTGTTGATATGACGAGGATGATGACAGGTTCAGACCTCGTAAACCTAAATGCAACTTGGCACATGAACGATATGCAATTCTTATATGATTTCTATTTCGAATCTACGTGAAAGTACATCAGCCAGCATTAAAGTCTTAATGGTAGAAGAAATTGGAGCCCATGCATTCCTCAGTTGTATGTAGTCGTTTTTACAATTATGTATATACATATGTAAAGTCATATTCAGACAAATCACCTCATTTATTTCATTATCAATAAAGGTTTCAAGAGTTGAGTTGTGTTTTGAAGGTTTCCATAAAATAAGCCGAAAAAATGAACTTATACATCGTGATCCTTGTATTGTTCTCATCATTACTTGTGCTACTAGTACATGTTGAATCAAAGCCATCACCATCGTCGATTTATCGTGGTCCAGTTTACAGTCGATATCTACCCCAGGTGCGTAAGGGTTAAATTATCATATCCGTGAGATAATTCCACTATAATAATTTTCTAAAAAAAATTCAAGCGAAAGCACAGCAATCCTGCTTTCGAAAAGAAAACATTTCAAAATCTCAAATCTCAATTTCACTCAAATTATCACCACCATGATGAGAATCCGCCCCACGACAGTTGGGAATTGGCACACAACAGCCATGAAATGGAGGACAATGCAAAGGCGAAAGAAATCGTCAAATTCATCAACCAATTTTTGGATGTAATGGGTCCGTTTCTTTTTCCGCTGCCATACGTCCTAGCCCTCATACCTTTTGCAATTCCTGCCATTCCACTCTCCTTTTGGCTAGAATCAAGGGAACATCACTCCCCCTCCGGTAATTATTACATTAAATCTATTGACCACAATATATTAGTTTCACCTGCAAATTATATCCTATGTAGAACCCGAACATGGAGAACAGCCTACAACACCAATGTCGCCAAGCTCTAGCTCGAGCAGCAGCAACACCACGCCAAAGCTAACAATGACCACACGACCCAGTAGTACAACATCATCATTTGTGATGAACCCCACTTTTTCTACAATTGTTGGGCCATTTCCCACCACTTTTGCCAATTTCCAGACAACAAGTTCCCCAACGGCAGGGCTGGGGGAAAACACATTCACGAACAGCAGCAGTTTAACGACGGATTTTCCGATGATGAATGTGGGGGCACCTGCTACGAATCCGGTCACCCTCTTCCCCTTTACCCTCTTCCTGAACTCTTCCTTCCTGGGGGAAGATTACCTTAACGAGGGGGAAAAGTGATGCAGCTGGACCGTACAGTAATGCAATGTCGTCGAAAATTTTTATGTTGCGATATTTCGATATTGTTGAAACTTGCTACCATTTATATCGAAATTTCGAGATTACATGCCCCAAATTGCATAATATTATTTTACCATAATTGGTTTATGACTGTTGTTTATTCATTTCTTATATTTTCATGGAATAAATGCATCCACGTTTGTCTAATGCTAAGGAAGTGGACTGTTTGTATTGCTTGTATCTTACAAGTTGTAAGATCAATTTCCATTCATTCCTTTGTAAGTATGCATATACGTAAAATGCTAACTAAATATTGCGAATACGAGCGAGGTTGATTTGAGGATCCATATCCTCACATTCGAATTCCTCACCCAGCACGGAACTTCACGGAGCACGTGTTTTATTTATAAGCTGAAAATCAAGTTCTTTTAGAATGTACAAGTTTTAAATAATTTCGAAAATAAATAGTGTAATATTTTTACTAGTAAGCGTTTCGTTTTTCTTGCATATTTTATATTTTGCCGATTGTTGACTGACTCCATATTTTGTAAATTAATATTTTGTATTTTTATCAGCTTTTCAGGTCAGAGGACTTTATTCAATTAACTCGACCAGATGTCCATGTTGGCTGAACCTCGTCGACGTCAAAAGATTGGGCCTAATCCCAGGGGCAAATTTTTCACCGAAGATGAGGATAACAAGGGCAGAAGTTTGTTGCAGAAGATGGGTTGGAAATCTGGCGATGGCTTAGGTCAAAGATTTAGAAACAATCTTTATGTGTATCTAATTGTTGGAAATTATAAAGGAATATTTTATTGTTTTTCTTAACAGGTGTTCAAAGACAAGGAATCAAGGATCCGATTAAACCCAAGATACATACTGATGAGAAAGGTATTGTGAGACAAATTAAAAGTGCAGTGCAAAAATTGTTTTAATCATCTTAATACACAATGTACATATCATTTATCACTATCAATTCCGTAGGGCTTGGGTTTGATGTAAAATCTGATCCTTGGGTTTCCCACACGGACGATTTTAATGAACTTCTCAGGTACACATTAAATTAAAATCTTGTTAATAATTAATCTTCATTAAATAAGCTTGAATTTGATTGATTAAGCAATAAATATATTCTTATATTTATAAACAGGAATCTACAAGCTGCCCATGGTAAAGTGGTACAGGAAGAACCGAAAGCTGAACCTCTTCCGTCCTTCACTCCTGGCTTTGGATTTCAATCGGATGATTCAAAGTCGTCAAAATCTTCTAATTTAGAGACGTTAAGATTTGATTTAGAAAGTAAATCCAAGGCATCAAGCTCTCGAATTCAGTATGTCACAATATACATAGAAAATACTGTTCTTACCCAACAAAATTGATTCCCATCAAGGACAAGATCATCATACTTTTCTTTTGTTTCAGCTACCACAAGTTTGTCAAAAATAAGGATTTAAGCAAAATCAAGGATAAAGACTGGAACTGTATTTTTGGAAAATCCGAGGAGTCTGCAGATAGTAACCGGAACGAAAGTAATAAAGAAATCAACGGACAGAGAGAAGTGGTGGTAGTGTCGAAATCTTGGGACGATCTATTGGCTCAAAAATCGTATTGTATCGATGACACCATCTCAAGTAGTATTGGTAATGTAGAAAATGAGCATTTAAACAGAGTTCAACGTTACAAAGCTCAAATGATGAGATCATTTGCAATATCAACACTTCCCGAGGATAAACCAAAGTCTCACAAGGACGAAATGCCGGTAGAATTAGCTACAGCAATTGACGACATAAGTTCTAAAGAGTCTTCAAAAAAGAGAAAAAAGAAAGAAAAAAAGCACAAAACTGAGGAGGAAGAAGATTCAACACCCGTTGCAGTGGTTCTTGATAATAATCAAGAACTTTCAGAAAGAAAGAGGATCAAGAAAGAAAGAAAACGACAAAAATTGGAAGAGAGCATACCAGAAGTTTGTGAAATGGAAATCGAAGACGAAGCACATAAAAAGAAGAAGAGGAAGAAAGAGAAACTAAAAAAATTGGAAGAAGAAGAGCAACCCATTGTAGAAATTCCTGAACAAACTGAAATAGTCTCACCGAAAAAGAAACGGAAGAAAAATAAACCGGAATCTTCAGAATGTTACGATCAGGTCAACCCCGAAGGACCAACAGTTGAGATACTTGGGGACAGAAATCAGCAGGCGGGTGGAAACCCTAAATTAAACAATGACAGTGAACCTATGAGTGAATCAGCAGAATCAGTTGAAATTTCTGGCTCTGCGGATGATGATGTCTTATCAACTCCAACTGTTAACTTTAACAAACGTACTGTATCTGCAGAAGAAATGCATGCAGCAGCATTAGTATTTAAAGGAAGCAATATTTTACAAATTCCAGGTTACCGAAATCAAAGCAGTAAACTGACATATGATTGATTGTAATTTTAGATTGTAAATGTGCTTGTCTAGTAGTAGGAAAATTATCTCTAATTTCTATTTCAGTTGAACTGTGGTCGGTGTTTGTCTAATAAATTTTTATGCTACTAATTAATATGGTTTCATGCATTACATCATATCAGTTTAGATCTTCTCTTGCTGTGAGGTGAGCATGAGATAAAGAAACACTAAATTAACTCACTCTTGAGATTCGACGCAACTTACGAGAAAAGAAAGACCTTGAGATTCAAGCCTTCCTTTTACACTGGATTATATTCACAGGATTCATATTATGCATATACGGGTATGGTAACTAACTAGTCCATATAGCATGAGGTTACATTAAACAAACATGTTTCTGCAAGTCGGAAATTCTCCAGATCGTGCTAAATTATTATTGTCATCCTAAATACTATTTTTTTTGTATCTAAATACATACATTTGCCGTGAGACTCATGCAGCTCAACTGCAAACATGGTTTTGAACGCACGCTCATTACTTGTACTTCTATCTTCCATTCTGGTGTACACATTTTATGATTTATATTTCAAATTAGAATATTCTCCAGTCATTCAAACTTCGAGTGGGAAAGTTAGGGGTGTAGTTTCAAAATCTAGACTAGGAAATAGTTTTTATCAATTTACAGGGATTAGGTATGCTGAGGCACCTGTTCAAAATCTAAGGTTTTCTGTAAGTTATTGCAGATTTAATAATTTTGTAAGACTACTGAACTGACAGCAAGTTATGTGATTGTTGATTATTGATCAATTTATTCGACAATTTTTCAGAGTCCTCGGCCTGTGAAGCCCTGGTCTGGTATTTTAGATGCTACTCAGTTTGGGCCTAAATGTAATGTTTGAAATTTTATTATGGAAAATAAGAATAAACTATGGAAGATACTAAAACACAGACGTTCATATAATATGCAGGTGTTCAAGTGGATGGGCTCTCTCGAACCGTAACCGGAAGTGAAGATTGTTTATTCCTCAATATATTCTCCCCAGAAAAGGTACGAGATAGATTTAAAAAATATGTATATAGTGCAATAATGAAACTCTGGAAAAAATAAAAATAAGTCATATTTTCTTAAATATTATATTACAGGCAATCTCAAATGGGAACAATTTATTGCCTGTGATATTTTACATTCATGGTTCGATCAACTAAAGATATTTAATCCAAAATCACTGATTGAAAAGGTAAACTATTTGTTCTATATATAGGAGGGTACTTCATGGTGGGCAGTTCATCGTATATGGGACCCGAATTTTTTATGGATGAGCCCATAATTTTAGTTACTTTGAACTACAGATTAAATGTTTTTGGTATGTGACTGATTGTTAATAAATAATGTCATGTCATGCAAGCTTTTTATGATTTCTGTTACTCCGTTGTGTTATAGGATTTCTTTCTACGGGGGATTCCGCTTCAAAAGGCAATTTCGGACTAATTGACCAAAACCTGGCGTTAAGATGGATAAACGAAAACATCAAATACTTTGGAGGTGATCCCTCAAGGATTACTCTAGCTGGTCAGAGCGCAGGAAGCGTTGCAGTTCATTTGCATATGTTATCCTCAATGTCAAATGGTACAGCTAATTTTATTGACATAAATAATAATGACACTTGTTTTCTAAATGGAGGTTCATGTTGTTGTCAGGATTATTCTCTGGGGTAATAATGTCCAGTGGAACTGCCATTAAGCCGCTATCCTTAGTTAATGATCCAAAAGCCCAAGCAAAAAATCTAGCAAGACAGTTAAATTGTCCTACAGAGAAGTCTAGTGACCTTGTTGAATGTCTAAGAAATATTGAACCAAATACCATTATCAACGCTCAGCTACATGCGCTTAGTGTATGTAAGCTTGCAATGTTTTTTCATAGCATATAAATAATTTTTTTAATCTGCCCACCTAAAAATGTTTACATTTGTGTAATTTCAGTCTCCTATTATGAACGAATTAGAGATTTTTGCACCTTCAATTGAAACCAATTGTATTATGCCTGCGGGTGAAGAATGTTTTCTTTCTGCCCATCCTTATGACATTTTGAAAAATGGGGGTTCCGCAAGAGTACCAATTCTCACGGGGGTTAACAAGGATGAAGGATTGCTTTCTACTGCCAGTAAGGATAATTTGTTTATGATGAATACTAATACTAACTATGCAACCAACTTATAATCATTACATAAATTACAATATGTGTATATTGCAGGAATTTTCGTCAATGCTTCATTGCAGGAATTTGTGAGCACTAATTGGAACGATTTATCTCCAAATTTCTTCCGTTATGACAAGTCTGCAAAGAATTTAACGGACAAAATTCGAAAATTTTATATCGGAGACGATAGTCCTTCCCAACAACGTCTTGCATTCAAGGAAAACTTTCAGCATATTACCAACATTTTTTCAGACCGTTTATATATTCATGCGACTAGAGAAACTGTCAAAATCCAGTCCAAGTTTTCTAAAATTTACCTCTATTACTTTACATACCCTTTACAACGTGGGATGACGTACTTGTTTGATATTGATCCGGATTTGCCTATTCTTCTGCAATTTATTTGGAAGGAAATACGGTGGTTTCTGAATGAACACATTTTCCAAGTACCAAATTTATTCTTGGGATGCGGTCACGGGGATGATATTGCTTTGCTATTCAAGTTCCCAGTATTTCATTTGTCTCCAGACTCGAAGGACTTTGCAATGTCAAGACAGCTTGTAAAATTATGGGCCGACTTTGCAACAAATCAGTAAGTAGTTATTATATAACTTAAGTATTATGAGATTATACGTGCATACAGAAGATATATATATGCAAATTAGTTTGATCCATTACTTTATACATACAATTTATGTCAATGCAGCCATGCTCTAACGTTTGATGGGAACTCTTGGCCTCCAGTGGAAAAAGATGCAAAAAATCTAAAGTACATGTTTATTGGAAACGGTGAAAATCATGGATCTCTTGTCGATGAACCTTTTGCTCAAAGGATGGTTTTTTGGGATAACATTAACCTACCTTGGAAAATACGATAATTATTATTACATAATGTGTCTGGTGTGTAATCGGATTTTAGACTAGTGGCTATATTGATGCATAGTTTATTATTGCATGACTGACAAATATTTGAAAAATAAAGACAGATTTATAACTTTTACCATCGTCGTGTGTCCTCGAAATACTTAATTATTTAGCTCACAAGACGGCACACAACTAAATCTGTAATGCAGACAACTTTCAGATTATAATCCTTTAAATCTACTTCAACAAGGGTTGAAAATTGCAGTTTATTCATTTGACAAGTATCTGCAATCAGACGCACATTTAATTATTTTGCAGTGCAACAGTCAATTACGAGAATGTTCCCAATTTTATATCTGTGTATTTTTATTTCCATTGTGCCATTTTCCATTCAAAGAGATCACGCTCCGGTGATTCAGATTTCAACGGGGAAAATTAAAGGCGAGGATAAAGAATCACGTAACGATAAAAAATTCTTTGCATATAGAGGAATACCATATGCAACTGCAAAACGATTCGAGGTACGATGGTACCACTCAATACTGTTTAATACTGCATAATGCTCAATAATCTGTAATTAAAAGTTAGACCATAATAATTAGTAAAATAATTGACTTTGTGCCCCCACTTGTACTTCACTTGTCCTTAATTTTGCAGCTACCTCAACCACCCACGAATTGGAGTGACGTGCGCGATGCTAAAGAATACGGGAAAAAATGTATCCAGTACAGCACTTTTGAGAAAAAAGTGGTTGGTTCAGAGGACTGCCATTACATTAATGTATTCACTCCACAGGTAGATTGCTATTATGATTGGCATATTATTGCAGTCGGGTAACAGACGTCATTTTATTTTTTAAATCCTTAAATGCAATCCTTGTACAGACCAGTGATGGACTAAGCAAAGTGTTGCTTCCAGTGATGGTTTATATTCATGGCTCATTTATGGATGGTACTTTTTTGCACAAAGTAAATATGTTTAACTGATCAAATCACGAATGCAAAATATCACAGGTACTGCAGAAATCTATCGACCCCACTATTTTTTAGATGAAAATGTGGTTCTCGTCACCTTCGATTATAGACTAAATATTTTTGGTACACTGAAAATAATTGATCGCACTAATCCTTTTGTTTCAGCATTTATCAATGCCCACATCGCTGTCTCGTTTAATATATGTACAATCCATATGTAAATGAATGTATATGCAATTTAGGGTTCCTACACATAGACGATGACGTAGTTCCAGGAAATTTAGGATTAAAGGATCAGGTTATGGCCTTGCACTGGGTGCAAGATAACATCCGCAAATTCTCCGGGGACAAAAATCGAGTAACTCTATTTGGAGCTGGGGATGGTGCATCATCAGTACACTTGCTCATGTTATCACCAATCACGAAAGGTAATATGCTTTAGCGATATAACCGTAAAAATCATCATATTATCAAATTTTTATACTTGAAATGCATCTTGTTTGTCCCACATGAAATTAGGTCTTTTTCGAAAAGCAATAACCCAGAGTGGTTCAGCTTTAAAATTAGACGTCATTCAGAAAAATCCTAAACAAGCTGCTCAACGTATTGCTAGACTCATGGATTGTGAAAAAGTTTTGAATGCAACATTGATTTCGGACAATCACTGTATGTTTGATAAATCAACGCTGATTTTTGAATGTTTAAAGTTAGTAGATGCAAAGAAATTGGCGCAGGTTCAACAGGAGGCTTTTGTACGAAAAAAACACTACTTTATAGATAATACGTAATAAGCCAATTAATCCATTCTTGTTTATTTGCATATTGTATTTAATTTTATTAGAGGCTCGCCAGGGACCCCCTTACATTTTTTGGCCCTGTTATAGAGAATCCTTCAAAACAATCCAAAGAATCTGCAGTGATTTCTGAACATCCCTATTCGATTATATCGTCTGGCAAGCAAAGTCGAATTCCATGGATGACGGGGTTAAATGCGCAAGAAGGTTTAGTTATAAGTGGAGGTATCGGTATTTTATAACTATAATTACCTAAAATTATTAGCTACACAAATTGCTCTATTTTCATCAGTTATTTCAAGTGACAAGGGACTTGTGGACAAAGTTGACTCCAGCTTCTACACAACTTCTCCAAAGTTATTACAATATGATCCATCACGTACCGATGTAACACACGAGATTCGAAGATTCTATTTGAGCCCAAATTACGCTACCACCACTGCTTCTGATGCTAACATTTCACCGTCAGTATCATCCTTACCTTCTTCGGCAACTCTGTATCCGAATCTTTATTCGAATTTACCAACTTTAAACTCAACCATTCCTATTGCTCCACACACACAAAATGATGACGAATTTTACCATATACATTTTGAAGAGCAATTCCAAGAGTTCACAAACATGTTTACGGACAGGTTATACGCCGTGGGGATGGTTGATGCCGTCAAAATGCAAGCTCAATATTCTCCTGTGTACATGTATTTCAATAACTACGAAGGACAATACAGCTTGTTAGATGTACACACTGGAAAGGCAAAGGAACCAGCACCGGCAATTAAAAAAGTGAGCAGTTGGTTCAAGAAAAATATTTTGGGGAGAACTCCACAAGCACCGAAACATTTAGGCGAGTGCAGATCTGGCATTTCTAAAATATGTACTCCCAGTCCATTGATCGTAGACTAGATAAATTATGAGATAAATTAATTTGGTCATTTCTCAGGTGTGTGTAATGGGGACGAGTTGCCTCTTTTGTTCAAGTACCCCGAGCTGAAAATAAAGGAGAATACACGAGACTATCAAATGTCAAAACAATTGGTGAAACTTTGGGTGCAATTCGCCACTGATGAGTATTTATAACTTTCTACACATTTCTATGCACAAACATGCATGCATACGTATCTCGATGGATTGGTTCATACATATAAAATTGTTTAATCTGCTCAGGACTAAAATGGTGTTCAACAATGCTAGTTGGCTTCCCTGCAGTAGCGGCAGCGATGATACCCTTCGAGCGATGCAGTTTGGGCCGACCGAGCAGGATTCTAGTTTTGGGCCCTTGAGTGACACGTTTATGACGAGAGTTAAATTCTGGTCAACCTTGAAGTACTTGGCCCCCTTTACTCAGTAATCTGACGCTGGATGGAGTTATAAATATTAGTTTACTCTAGAATTATACATAGTATTATTGCATATGAATTATGACATTGATTTATTAGACAACAGGTTCTCATGATGATGTACACTTTCTCCGGTAATCGGGATGTACCATATTAGTAACCTACATACATATGTAAAACTGTGAAAGGTGACAGTAAATAAAGTATTTCTGTATCCTGTTTCTTGTGACATTTGTTTCGATCCATGTTATTGTTTGTATGTTTAGATTATCTCAACCTTTAAGATGACTAATTTTGGAGATTAAAAAAAATGTATAAATGTGTGCATCCATGTAAACTCTGCTCCACAGTGAAAACTCAGACTCCGACATTAGTTTAGTTACCATCAGCTAACAGGCTCGCAAATACAATATGGCCTACGTAAGTTTTCAATAAAACTCTTTACAATAAACAATCTCACAAATCAATTACGAACCAAGGTTAGCATGCTAATGTTTAATATTCCATTTGTTTTTATAGAATAATTTTGTGATACTGGTTCCCACGCTTCTTGTTGCTGCACAGCTCACACTTGGATTTGCCAATCCATTATTTTCGCATTCACCCCAGTATTACTCCGACACTTATAAGTATGGCTCTCATAATCTACAATAATTTACAGAATCCTAACAACATTAGGATACTAAATAAGTTAATATTTTTTATAACTTGCAGCATGAGAACCATGCAAAAATCAGCAGAGGCTTATGACTTTAACTCTGACACCAAATTTGAGGATCTTCATTCAGTGCAGACGGCAACCAATACAGTGACAAATTTGTGGCCACATAATTATCAAAGTGCTCCATCCCAAAAACATCAAGCTCTTCAGACGCCTAAGAAAACAAAATGTCACACGTGGACAAGTCCTGAAGGAATTCAGTTTAAACTCAATCCAATATCACGCTCTGGAGCATTCGGATTCAACCTTATCATGTGCGACGATGATAGCGAAGCAGGCAAATTTAGTCAGCCATACTACTCTCCAGGATCTGTATCTGAATATGTTTTTCTAAGTTAATACTAACCTAAGTTTTTTTAATTTCTTAGAGGCTGCGAGTTTTTTAAGGTTAAGGTTTTTTAATAGTCGACTCCTTTGTTTTTAGCCCGAGTCAGGGCTTATGGAACCGTCATGTCCGTCCGTCTGTCTGTCCGTCTGTCTGTCCGTCTGTCTGTCCGGCACGATAGAGCCAAAACGGCTGAACCGATTGACTTGAAATTTTTACCATATGCATATTGGACAAAGTTAGGAAACGAGTTCGAAGATGGGCGAAATCGGTCCCGTGGTTGACCGGTGGGGGTCATCGGAGTGGGTGGGGTATTATGCACCAAAATTTCAAAATTGTTGTAGAGAGCTGAAATTTGGTACAGAGGTTGCTAATGGCTCCTACTGGATAAAAATGACTTCAAGTTGGAAAAATTTTCATCTTGAGTGACCCTATGCGGTGACCCCTACCGATTTTTAAAAATCATCATTTCGAACTGAAATTTGGTGGAGAGGTTGCTTATGGGTTTTAATGAAAGAATATGAGATGATATTGGTAAAATTTTCATCTTGAGTGACCCTATGGGGTGACCTATACCGATTTTTAGAAATTGCTTTAAAAAGATGAAATCCGGCACAATGATACTTAATGGCTTCTAATTAAAGAATATGAAGTTAAAAGTGAGCAAAGTGCAACAAGAGTGACCCTATGGGGTGACCCATACTGATTTTTCAAAATCGTTATATCGAGCTGAAATTTGATATGGAGGCTGAAAACCACTGCTGGATAGCACATACATATACAGCTTAGAACTTCAGGATGTTAAAGAAGCCCACTGGTCATGGTGGTCAAGGCACATGATTTGTAACTAATTCAAAAATTTGGTACCAAATGCTAGAAACTATCTAACAAACTTTTAACCATCCACAACACGGAAGTTGGTGATATTATGTCGGTCAGTTCGGAAAAAAATTTAGAAGCGGGCTCTGACTTATTGGGTCAGGGACTATGTCCCTGACTCGGGCTATATGGAGTCTGCACTGTAGGTTTTTTTAACTTTTTCTGACATGTTCTTGTAATTGGTAATCAGGCAAACCGTGAGTTAATACTGATAGTATCCATTCTTGGTAAAACTTACTGGAGATTTATGGGATTTATTAAGATGCGAAGCAGATTTAGGGTAATTAAATGAAAATACATACACAATGTACATTGAAATTCTATGTAAATTTCACATGCAATTAAAGACGATTTTTTGCAAAATGTACTACCTATAATTGTATCACACAAATTACATTTCCTCACGCTATGGAAAAATTGTAGGGAAGATGCATATTCGTACAACTATTAGTGCACGCATGCCACAAATTACATGCTTTCATATTTACATACATGCACGTGTATCAAAATATGAAGAAACTCGTTTGCAAAAAAATATTTTGTTTCGCATGTATGTCAGTCAGTCTACAAATTATATTGCTTAAACCAAGAAAATCTCATTGTCAAGTTCACACAGTTGCTCTGCGTATCTTCAACCAGTAGCATGCAAAAATCGCACTGCATTAATACCGTCACTATAAATTCTTGTTTTAATTAAGTATTTTCTATAATCCATTTTAGTTGGGGTTTGATTATGAAGTTATTATTATTTAACCTCATAACACCGTTATTTTTTATTTGCAATCTTCTTGTTAATTCTCAAAATCCAGGATTTTTTAATCGACTTGTCAACTCTGACAACCTAAATTTTTTTCGTAAACCTCGGTTTAGCTTTTTTAACGAGTTTATTGAGCCGATTCCAGGGATTTTGGAGGATATTGTCTCATCAACAAGTGCAAGCGATCCAATTGTTGATACTGAAAATGGGTGGCTGCGGGGTGTCAAAAAAAAGTCACGAGATGGTAAACCATATTTTGGATTTCTAGGAATACCCTACGCCGTGGTAAGTTAATTTCTTAATTTTTACATCATTCAAGCAATTTGAACAAAGTTTTCTTACGATGTGTTTCGCTTTTCTACGCACAGCCACCGATTGGGGATTTACGGTTTGAGGTACTCCTCGGTCAAAATTATAAAATGTTTAAGAAATACGTATACATGAGCTATACAGACAAATTTACATACCAAATAGTATTTGGTTTCATTGAAATGCGATGTATATTATCGTTCTTTAACAGCCCCCACAAAAGTTAATTGGAAGATGGGAAGGAATTCGAAATGCAAAACACTATGCTTCCACCTGCTTCCACATGGATGTCTTTTTTTCTGGAAGGATGATTGGTGAAGAAGACTGTCTTTATGCAAATGTTTACACCCCATCGGTAAGAATTTTTTCATGTAATAAATTACAACTGGTTTAAAAGGCATAAAAAGTTGGGAAATTAAATCGAATCTGTTATGTATAGATCAAACCCAAGATGTTGATGCCAACTCTGGTTTATTTACATGGAGGAGGTTTTAGCTCAGGATCTGGAAACATGTACCAAGAAAAATATTTCATGGATGAATCCAGAGTTGTTCTCGTAATTTTCAATTACCGTCTATCTGCACTAGGTAAAAAATAATATAATAAAAACGAGTACATACACATATTTATGTTTAGTATCAAAGATCAAAATGTCAAAACTGTCTTATGCAAAATAAATTTGCTATAGGCTTTCTTAATACCGGAGATGGAATTGTGCGAGGGAATCAGGCATTAAAAGACCAAAACTTGCTGCTAAGATGGGTAGGAAAGAATATGCAAAATAAGAGAAAATGCTGCAGAATCCCCTTTTAGAAAAGCTACTTTGAAATACGTTTATTTTTTGCCATTCTAGGTCCAGTTTAATATTGCAAGTTTTGGAGGTGATCCTACATCCATTACATTGTTTGGAGGTGAGTTAGTTTTTTCGTCTATCTGTGCCGAGTGCCATGACATGCTTTCTTGCTTTATTAATTATACAAAAAACAGTGGAAAGATTGTATATTATGCATTTTCATAGCGTATGTGCATATATGCATACATGCAAAATAATATGTAAAAATTAAGTAAATATGATGCCTTAAAATGTTTTGTGTAGAATCTGCTGGGGCAGCAATGACCCAGTATCATTTGCTATCAGGGCAATCCAAAGGTACTAAATATTTACTAATTACATTGTGTGATAAAAGTCCCACAAGGTTTGATCAGCAAGTAAATTTTTTTCAGGATTATTTCATAAAGCAATTTTACTGAGTGGTTCTGCCTTAAGTCCATTTGCGTTAAATGGGAATCCTGCTGCAAGTGCGAAACGACTAGGTATTATAGTTTACTTCTTTACTTCCTATAGAATTCAGATTGCATTTACTTTTCGAAAGGAGAGCATTATTTTAATAGTGTATTTACATATTTGGTTGTATGATTTTTATTATTAGCACGTAGTGCTGGATGTCCAACGCTAAATTCAAAACTGATGGTTAATTGTTTAAAAACTGTTCCCGTGCATTTATTCAAAAATGAATACAAACAAATGATGGTGCGTAATACATAATATGCAGAAATACTTATGCAGCTCTGCAATACTATGAATTGTATGAAATTATTTTGCCCCGAGTATAGAGAACCGTCGCTAACCCTGCAGAATACTTTGCTCCAAGCGTAGAAACCTTTTGGAACGAGGACACATTTCTTAAAAAGACTCCTCGTGAAATCCTTCACGACGGAGATTATCTCAAGATCCCTTTGATGAGTGGTGTTAGTTCTAGTGAAGGATTATTGTACACTGCGAGTATGTACAACAGCTTATGTATCTAATAATCCACTTACCGTATACAGCTATTAATGACAGTTATTTATCATAGGGTTGATGGTTGATCAATATGCAAAGCTGAACATGGACCAGAAATTTGCAAGTTGGATTCCACGGTTTTTATACTATGATCCAAATAATGAGACTAAAACTGAAATAATCAAATCATTTTACTTTCCAAATCATAAAATTGATTTGACACGGTCCAAAGATTTCGTAAACCTAACAAATTTGCTTTCAGACGGTTGTTTTTTCCATCCGAGCCATGAATTTGCGAAACTATATGCAAGCAATGCACCCGTCTATTTATATTACAATACGTATGAAGGCCGTGTTTCAGTTTTTGATATCTTACGAAAAGTTCCACTTGCAAACTTTGATGAAAATGATGACAATAGTATCCAAAGTATTCCCGAGATCGCAGTGGTAACTGAATTATTGTCTGACCTGGTGAGGTATCGGCTCACAAATAAAAAACCGTCCAATTATGGCACAAGTCACGGTGACACAACATTTCTACTATTTAACATGAAAAACGTTCCTGGCATTGGACGATTAAGTATGGATTACTCCATGTCAAAGTCCTTCATAAAAGCAGTGGTAGACTTTTCATCGATTGGCACAAAGTAAGCTATGCATATTTTTATATTAATTTTATTTGGATTTGATGAAGCTTGCATTTATGTGTTGATATCCTCCATCAGTCAGACACTGACATTTGATGGTATTCCTTGGCCAACTGTAAAACCGAATGCAGGCGTTCTGCCTTACATGCAAATTAAATTACCAGGCCAAGTTGTACAAGAACCATTTCAAGACAGGATGAAAATGTGGGATGAAAAATTGAAGAAATAGCATAAACCTAATGCAAAACTGGATCTCAATCCCATCAACGTTTTTTATTGGTGGGAATCTATTTATCTTGCCACTCCAATGCAAACAACCCAGAAGGAATACTTACTAATAATAACCAATGATAATAGATAATTCGTGTGCTAGTCAAAATGAAATTAAAGTGTAATATTTAACAATTGCAAACAGAATAAACAATGTGCTGGATATGTAAACTTTGGTTATGAATCATAACTTATGATTTTCCTTTGTTGCCGGTGGTGGTTGGTTGAGGGAGGAGAGAGCGACTAGAAGCTGGGGATGGTGGCGGGAGGCATGTTTCGTGGGATGTTTCCTATCTCGAGCAGAGCATTTCGACTTTCAGCACAAGGCGACCAAGCAAGAAGAAAGGAGGAATTCGCACAAAACAAGTTAGAACACGATCAAATCCGATTGCATCTTAGACTGTATTTATTTACACTTATTTATTCCCGTGTCCAGTGCTGTGCAATGAACTGTTCTCAGCTAGTTGCGAATTTTGGCACTATCAGTGATTATCTATCACAATAAAAACGGACTCATTGATACTACGGTGCGGTGTCACCAACCAAGTGAATTTGTTTATATTTGGAAGATTAGAGTTATTTTCATATAATGTGATGTGATAACATTGCGAATTATTTCCTGTAATTAACTATCTTTACACCTTATCAATTAAATCTATTCTAGCCTGACAATCCAAAATGAGCTCCTCGCTGCGCAAGGATTTTCATTCTGTTATCAGAAATAATCGTACGGTTCGATCCACTTCGAGTAAATGAAAAAAAACAATTAAAACAACATAACTAAAGAAATTGTTCAACTTTCATTAGATTGTGGTAAGTCTATAAATGTACAATGATGAATATTTGTGTAATATTACTTACAAATTTATTTGTTGAAGGAATTTACTAAAAAACAATGGAGGACAAGGACACCATGTGCGTTGGCAAAGATGGACAGCGGTACAAATTAGAGAGCATGTACAAACAAGTACGGGAACTCTTGGGGGAAGATTCTAACATGAAAGAACAAGAGTTAAAGGTCTTCATGCGATCTGAAATGTTTCTACAAGTTTGTCCCGACCTATATGAAGCCTTTAATTCAATGGAGCGTCGAATTCAAGAAGAGAAGCAAGTACGTGATGGCGGTTCGAGTAGTTCCGAGGTTGTAGTTGTGAAGCAAGAGAAAGATGATTCAAAACAAGAAGATAAAATCAAGACTGATTGTATAGAAAATCTGAAAGAAAATGATATAAAGTTGAAATCAAAAAATTATTCCTCTAACCATGCAGATTCATCTAAAGATGAAGAAGAAGAAAAAGAGTATCATAGAAGGAGTAAAAAGAAAAAACACCACAAGAAAAAACAACGCACTGTTAGTTCTTCCAACTCTTCTAGCAGTGATAGTGACACAAGTGCTCCTCGTGCATCAACATCCACTAAGCATGCCCATCACCATCGTCATCATCAGCACAAGAAAAAAGATATTAAACCTGAAATAAGCGATATTAAAATTAAGCAAGAGGAGAAAAAGAAGCCTAAGGACGTAGGGGATGCTGAAAAAAGCAGTCAAAAAGTTCACCCTTATTACCTCGGACAAAGTGGACCAGTTGTTCCCCAAAAAGGAAAATTATTTGGAAGTAATAATCATTCTAATGATGAGGGGGACAAAGAATTGTTCAAGAGGAAGAAAAAAATCGACGAGCATCAAAAGAAAAAGACTTATCATCAACAGGAAGCGGCTTCGTCGTCGTCGTCGAATTTTCGTCAGCCAAAACCTTGTAGCTTCTATAATAGATCAGCTGCAAAGGTCGGATCAGGAAAAAATTGGAAACCTTACGAAGATGCTGAATTTAGTAAGTATGAAAAGAAATTTAAACTCCGTGATTTGTCAGTCCTTTGTGTGGATCTTGCCAACTTACACAATGTTGTTCCACTGAAACGTCACTTGACGATAACAACCCGGAAAGAAGAGGAAATCGAGAGTCAAGAAAAAATCAAACGCAAATCGTTTAAGCATGTCCTCAAGAGGCTCTACTCTAAAAACCGCAAGAGGGACAATAAATATAAAAAACGAGCTAAATACGAAGCTGACAGTGGAGACAGTAGTGATCCTGTTGTTCCAAATAACAGGGCACGACAAGGATACAACAACAAGGTTACTGAAAAGTCTCACAATACAAAGGTTGGCAGTGCGGCATGGAAGAAAGACCAACGTCAAAAAAGTTTGGAACAACTTAGAGAAAAAAATGAACAGAAAAACCGAACGACAAGAAAACTTCCCTGGGAAAATGATGAGTATTTCGGCAAATCAAGAAACTCTGGTCCTGATGCATCAAAGAATAAGGGTAGTGCTAATAACCAAAAGGATAGACCTAAACCTGAAGTCATTCTTCCAAAAATACCAAAACGGAATGCACCAGCAACTTCAGTTCAAAATTTGCTTAATCAAATTGAGTCGGCAAGACTCATGGTTGAGCAAAAACCAAAGGTGGAGCTGAAAATCCCAAAGTTTTCTGAGACTCCTTATTCATACAGCACGAGACAGCAAAAAACAGTGACTCAAGGACTAGTTGCACATGAAGTAGACAAATTATTGCGTTCGAATACGACCGTCCAATGTCCTGCGATGACAAACCTCCAATCAGAATTGGCCGAGTACACCATTAGAAAAATCGGTTGGTGGTTACTTAAAGAAGAAGAAGACCCTCCCGACGAAGTGATATATCACCCGGAATATTATGACAATAAAATCTATGAAGATTGGTTCAATCCTGAGGACCACCAAGATGACGATGACTGTTCTATCGGATGTGTCAGTGATCCTGAAGGAACTGAAACAGAGATTCCACAGGCGCCTACCTTTTTTGACGCTGACAAATTAGATGAATATGCGGCAAGTTTCCTTTTTGATTGAATACTTGACTGTTAGCCAGTAAAATAAAAAGCCAAAGATAATAATATCAATTTTGCTGTTCTATTTGTAGGGTTCTGCGACATTGGAATCAAGAATTCTGCAAGTAACTAAGGATGTCGAAACGGGTGTCGAAAAGTCTTTCTATAAAAAGTTCATTGCTATTAAACCTGGTTGTAACTACGAAAAGGACAACTTTGAGGTTATTAATATATTTATTTCTACCTTAATTGGCTTAATGAATAGAATGCACATTGTAATAAGCAATCAATTACTAAACTTCCAGGCAAAGTGCTATATCTGCAAAGAAAGTTTGAAAGGAAGGCGCGCACTAGGTACAATCTTGTTATCAATTTATATCAATCTCGTTTTTATGAAACAATATTCCAAAATCATGACGTTGTATTCATATTTATATAATTTAGGAGCACACATTCGTGGAGAGGCCCACAAAAATGAATTCCGTAACTATTGTACGTCCAATGTAACGAATATTATGCGTATTCATATTCGACCTGAAAACATACCTTTGAACTTGATTTGTTAAGCCATGCATTGAAATTGTTTTTAATTTATATGACAGCTCTAAATTTTGCAAAATACGAGGAAAGTGTAGTAAAGGTTCAGCCCAAAAAAATATTTGTCGCAAAGTTGATAAAGTACTCTACTGACGATAGCCTTACAATCCCAACTCCAGGTAATTGAAACTCCACTACTTTCAGTTCAATAATAACAATAAACACTTTTGTAAATATGATGTTTTTATTCTCCACAGACGTTACAAAGGACCAAGAGTCTAAGCTTGTTAACCCAGAAATTAGTGCCGGAATAGACGACATTGACGGATCAAATAGTCCTGGGGCCGTCATCGACAGCAACCACTCTCTTGCCCCTGAAGTAATTCGACTCCAAGACATTGATGACGACTTGAGCTTACCTAGTTTGGCTGTCTTTGATTTGGAGCCAGACAATCAACAACTACGGGCTAAAATTTGTCTTAGGACGAATGGCCTTTGGACAGCTGAAATGGAAAAGAAATGGTTACAAATGCAAGAAAATGAGACTCGGTATGTATTGCATTTGCCTAAGACTTAAAGTATTTGTTCCTCGCTCACTATTATGTATAATTTTAATTATTTTAATGAATATTTTATAAAATTAGAATTACGGGACAATATAACGAAACCCGTGATAAGTATATAAATTCTCCGGATTCTCACCCTTTGAAAGAAGACGAGTGGATAAAATTTTGGGAACGAAGGTGTACAGAAGTTGAAGCTGAAGGGAAGAATCCTGACGATCATGATTATGCTGGAGAATGGGTTCCTTTCTGGTTAAAACGTGTCCAGGAAATTATGAAAGCGGAATTTGAAATGAAAATGTATGTCCTTACTTTATTAATTTGACAATGTATCGAAATGCATAATAATACAGTGGTACATTCCCAATTGCTGATTTAAACTCATCCACTTGATGGCCAAGTGGATGAGCTTCTTTGAGGAAGTTGCTATTTCACATTTGCTATTTAGCAAATGTATGAGTTTTATACAATCAAGTTTATCGTTGTTATTGTTTATCATAGGCAGTTAATGAAGCAAGAACTTGGCCTGGATACAACTACTCTGATCAGCCGATGCCAGCAAAACAATTTATCTCCAGATTCGGTTGAAATTGTTTGCAATAAGGGAGACAACAAGAAGGGGAACAATTCCAAATCAATCTCCAGTTCTGATATTAGGGGTAATCAATCACCACACTTCCTTAAACTCAGAATGTCACTAATACTCTGCCAATCTTTTCCAGGTCGTAATTTACAACAGTTACCCACTCAAAATAATAAAGTTTGTGCCACGGGTCAACCACCGCCACCTCCTCCTCCACATCTGTCAACAAGGGACAATCGCAAGACTGCACCAATGGTGACATATCCTACTAAAAATACGAGTGATTTCAAAGGTAATCGAGGCAGAGATGAACGAGGTGGTCACAATAACTATGGACGAACAAGATCTCGCTCTCCCCCTGACCGTTACGGCCGTAATAATGATCGTAGGAATGATCGAAAAAGAGAATTTAGACGGACTCCCCCAAAACATAATAATCATAATAATCGACGGCCTTCTGATGACGATAAAGTGAAAAAGCCAAGAGTATCGAATCCAGACTCGGACTGGGAGTCAGAAGAACCACAACCAAAGGTTGAAAAATTCGATGCCAATCCTGCACCTCTTTTAATTGCAATGAATGGTGGTGAAAATTATAATTCAAGATGGTCTGCAAAGCCAATTCAGCCACCTATCCCTCCCCTCCCCCTCTGTCAACTCGTCCTCCCCCTCCACCACCTCCAGTGCTAAAAGACGAAACGGTACGAAAGGATGAAACACGTCAGCAATCTGGCCATTTGGAAACAGCTCTGGCCGAGCTACAGGAAGCCATTCAATTTACGGAAACAATAATGTCACATGATTTGCCAGGATCTATATGTAATTTGCGAGGCGTTTCCGACTCGAATGACAAAGCTAACATGCCATCTTGTAGCACAATCAGCTCGAATGCGAAGATAATGGATTTGGATGATCCATTTGAGGGCGTGAGTCCTATTAATACAAGCGTGGAAATGGAGCCAGTTGAGGAAAAGATACAGAATTCGCCCAAAAAGGAGTCTTCCAAACGTCGTCGTCGTGATCGTGATCCTAAACGAACCAGACCCGCATCCCCTGAAGACGGAGAGATTGGTAAACTCAAATGCATTATTTTGGCTTAAATATCCTTTTCCTTCAGGTAATGTGATGTAACATTGTTTCTCTGGTGTATCTTTTAGATTCAAGTGCTTCGTCAATTGATCAAACTGATGTTGAAAATCCTTCAAACCCTGGGCTTTCTGCACTTGCAGCTGCTGAACTTGACAAGAATTCAATCGGGTATCAACTACTAGTCAAAAATCGTAAAGACTCTAAACATAATTCTCCAGAATACGAGAAAAGGTAAGTAGTCGTATGTATACATTTATAATACAATAAGACAATATGATATTTATTTGCTCGTTTGCTATCATCTCGCAGATTAAACGATTCTGTAGTTAGGAGAGGGTCTAAAGAGGAAAGATCACACGACCCCACGTCCCGTGAAACTTGTCGCCCTGTTATTGAACGTCGTCATTCCAAACCTGAGGGACGAAATTATCGCTCTAGTGCAACAGAAGAAGGGATAAATTCCGGAAAAGTTAATTGGGACAAGCCTTCAAAACATTCATCATATCATAAACCAGCTCCACCACCTCCATCCTGCTCATCAGAGTGGATGAGCCGAGAAGAAGACTGGGAAAATGATTCAACTAAAGTCAGCCCACCCCCAATTGCAACTCCACCACCTCTTCCTTCGTCTTCAAGCAATAATAGCAATCGTAATGATGCTCCATATTCACCTGGACTGGACAAAATAGATTTAGGAATCACCAAAAGTGTCCTGAGTCGTGCGGTATCTCCTTCCACTACAAACAGGGTCACAAAAACAGCTCCAACATTACAAAATGTTTTCAGCGATAAGTTAACCAAGAAGCAAAAAAAGCAACTGCATAAAATGGAACGGGAAAAAGATGAACCACGACGACACCACGGTGGTAGAGTTGCTCCGCCAGCGTTCCCAGGACCATCCCCCATCCCATCACTTTTTTCACCTACCCAACATAATTATTCAAACTACTCTCCCAACCCACCATATCCCAATTCTGACAATTGGGACAATTCTCATGGATATGACTATCGACAGCCACCTCAACAACCTTATGACACATATCCACCACAATATCCTCAATACCCTCAGAATTATAACTATTGGAATAACAACGAAGGTTGGGTAAGTTCTTTATTTAAAAATAAGATTTGAAATATTTTATTTATGAATATATACTTATTCATATATTATATACATATATTTTTTACTTTACAGTGATATAAACCGTAATTGAGAAGAAGAAAATGGAAGGACAAGTCACTCAATATCACTCGCCCTCTGTTCGTTTCAAAATAACTAACATTAATTGATTATTTTAGTGGAGAAATTTCTGTTGGCTCGACTATGTACTAATACATTATAACCACTATTGAATTAATTTAAATGCGTTTAGGCGATTCGTGACTTGTTTTATTGTCATTCTGATACATTCTTTTTATAGGTCTTTATAAATGTATTAAAATCGTTCTTGGGATGACCACAAATTACCTTACCCGTGTAGTATGATATGGGTAGCTGTATTAGTCAGAGCCAGACGCTAGCTTGCATGCTCTTGTGTTATTTCTTAGGCAGAGCGTTGTGTTATTATAAGCCCATTTTTGTTAAAAATACAACTGACGTAATTAAGTCGTATTAATTTGGAATGACATTAGGAGGATTTCATATTTTTCTAAAAACAGAATATATATAATAAATAGATCGAAATGCTAAACATGAAGTTTTTCATTTTTTTTTTATTTATGACCTTCTGGTCATGGGAATATCGTGCTATATTTCATTGTATTGCGTGGGAGTATTTCTCTTAATTGTCGTACATATACATCACATCGCATTTATCCGCAATTTAATTGACGAGTGCTGATAATTGACATATTATTAAAGCGTATGCGTAGCGTTGTACATAAGTACATAAATATTTACGTGGACACTGAATGGAATCAGGAAGTATGTGGTATGTTGCATGATCCAAATATTTACGCAATCATACAATTTCAGATAAAACTAATCAATAAAGTCAGGGACATAAGTTTGTGTGCTCTGAACTTGCAACCCATACACAAAAATTGTATTATAGAGTTCAAGCTTGACATTCGTTCATTGGAATCCATAATTCTTTCAACTTTGAAGTGCAGTCAATATTGGGCACCTATTTTATCCAGTCATACTCACGTCAGTTAATTGACAACTCACATAAAATGAAAAATTAGTGCAATAATTTTTAGACTTTTCAAACTGCGTTAGGTCATTTTTTGTCAAAAATTTAACGAAATGTTGACAGGAATGCAGAAAGTTTCATTAGTGGCGTTGATCGCCGGTGTCATAATGTCATTTGCACTAACTGCATCAGGGTATTTTAGTCCACTCCCTTCATCAATTGTGCACACTAAAAACGGTCCGGTTCAAGGATTTGTTGCAGTTTCCAGGGATGGTCGAAACTACGCTGCCTACACTGGGTAAAAGAATATGGACACAAATTCTAGTAGCATGTTGGAATAGTAAAAAAAATAATTTTTGCTGGACATAGAATCCCATTCGCAGAACCACCAACAGCAGCAGAGCAGCTACGTTTTAAGGTTAGAAATGTCCAGACGGTTTTGAAATTGGATTTAAACTAGCATTTTTTTAGTCAGATGCTTAAAATTTATTGTAGCCTCCGGTCCCCAAAAAATCCTGGAATGATGTTCTCAAAGCCAACCAATTCGGTAAAGATTGCTACCAATTTGATTCAATGGTGGGTAATAATAATACAAGAGCATGTCTATAGTTCCAAATATTTTGCATACATTTATTTATACGCATAACAGGTACGAGGAAAATTTTCTGGAGATGAAGACTGCCTTTATTTAAATGTGTACACGCCAATAATAAATGTAAGCAAACACATAATTTAATGGTATAATATAGAATTAGTGACGTTTTTTACCTTGTACATATTTAAATAGCAGAAGACAGAAAAACTGCTCCCTGTTTTAGTGTGGATTCATGGCGGAGGCTTTGTGAGGTACTGATCAGTTAGTCACAATTAAGTTCATTTATGAATAAGATATTCCGTATGGATTTTAGCGGAGGAAGCGCATTATACAGTCCAAAATATTTCATGGACCACAACGTCGTAGTGGTTTCTATGAATTACAGACTTGGGCCACTGGGATTCCTTAACACAGGAGAAAGTATTGTGAGGTATATGTGTGTAATTAAATGCTTACTTTGTTGATATCACAACGAAAGTTGTCACACGACATAAAAGGAAGTCAGAGTAATACTATTTCTAATTAGTATTTAATCGTTCAATAGTGGCAACATGGGCTTGAAAGATCAGCGATTAGCCCTCCGCTGGGTAATATACATACATATTTACATACCTATGTATGTTCATACATGTATTGCAATAAAATAATGTGTATTTTAAGGTTCAAGACAACATAGCTGAATTTGGAGGTATTAAAAAAATAATTTAAGATAAATATTGTTATAATGTTAGACATTCAATTCAATATATTTATTAGGAAACCCAAATATGGTCTCACTTTTTGGAGAGTGAGTTAACCTATTAAGTATACGATTCGTATAAATTGTATGTATTTATTTATAATTAATAAAACAATCCATATAGGTCGGCTGGTGCTGCAAGTGTAAGTACGCGTATACGTAAATATACTTAACGAACAGCATGGCAAAAGGATTTACGAAGTTTATCAAATCAATAATGCATTTGTATGATTTAAACTATTACAGGTTCACAGTCACATAATTTCTCGGTCGAGCAAGGATTTATTCAGCAGAGCTATAATTCAATCAGGTTTCATAACAAAAAATTGTCCAAACTTTTCCCTAGTGAACATTGTTAACTTTTTTACCAAATTTTCCCATTTCCCCGTGAACCCGTTATCAGGATCAATTGCAGCCCCTTGGTCGCTAAATAACAATCCGATTCGTCAAGCAAAAGAGTACGGGAAGAAAGTCGGTTGTCCAAATAGTGACATGGAAGAAATGGTTGCATGTCTGCAACAACTGAGTCCAAGAGAGTTAACTCAGCCGATGGTGGATTTAATGGTACTTTTATTGCGTGTAATATTCTGAATAATAATCCCACGAAAATTAATTCGGAAATTTGTATTTGTCAACTTCCAGGATAAATCTCCATTCACGCATCAAGATGACGTTTTCTCACCTTCCATTGAACCTGAGACAGCTCATGAGCCTATTTTTACTGAGAACCCAAGAATTTTATTAGAACAAGGAAAATTTAACAAGGTTCCAATTATAATTGGAGTGACCAATGGAGAAGGTGATGCCTTCAAATAAAAATCATTTACTCTCAGTTTTGGATAATATCATGATCACACTATGACACTAAAGACACTAAATTTACACTGTTCTTCTTTGTGCAGGTGGATTGAGGACATCTCGTGAGATGAGATACATTTCGTATAGAAAATCCACAGCCTGGATAGAACAATAATGAATGACCAAGTATTATGCATATTTCAGGCATTGAAGCAAATGGTGTGGATTTGGAAACCATTGACAAGAAATGGACTGATTACGCTCCTCTGCTGTTCATCTATGCTCCGGAACGGAAAGACGTTTCCAATAAGATACGCCAGCATTACTTTTCAGATCAACCTTTTGCTCACGATTCAGGAGCATTTCTCAAGAATTTTACCAAAATGATGTCTGATGGCTTGTTTTTTCATTCTCTCCACAAAGCTGCCGCATCTCACAGTCAACACGCACCTGTGCATTTGTACTTTTATGAATACGAATCCAGTCTTCCGGGTGTTTACAGTATATTAAAATCAGTAAAATCCGATGATTGGTTGTTGGCAGAAGTTAAAATAGGAGTATCAATTCTCAAAGACTTTTTCAGAAAACTTTTCAACTATCCTGGTCCTCATGAATATGGTAATGACAGACGTTTGTGCATGTAACTTGTTAGATTTGATGTTAGCATATTCTCGCTGTAATTTCAGGTGCATGTCATGCTGACGACTTAGTACAGCTCTTTAAAATGGACTGGAAATTAGAAATTGGGCAAAAAAGCGGAGATTATCAATTTTCTAAGAACTTGGTCAAGACATTTGTTGATTTTGCAAGCAATGTGTATGTTGACAACACAATTATTTAAAAGAGCCAAAATTTGTAAGAATCTCGACACTATAAATACTAAATACTAAATAAATTTATTCTGTAGCGAGCCTTTAAAATTCAAAGATACAAGATGGCCGGTGGTGGAAAAGGCTCAAACAGATCCTCTAATTTTAATGAAACTTGACAAGGATGGTGGCGTCATACCAGAGCCATTTTTCCAACAACTTGCATTTTGGGATTCCCTCAACATTAGAAATTGGAAAGATAAAATTGACTGGTAATCAAGTGATGGTCGTAGCTCGCTTAAAATACCTCTGAAGTTCTGTGATATTATTATACCAATAATCATTGTTTTAAGTAAATAAAGATCCATATAAATGCCAAATATTGCATGCGATGCCTTTATTCAGTTTTGTGTTTCATATGGTCGCTGTGTATTAAAATGATGCAGAAACAAGTCATGACATCAGCAGAAATCCCACATATGCAGATATATGATGATTACTGCTTATGAAACTAATGATTGGACTGCAAAAATTACTGCTGTCCATGGGATCGCACCATCTGATGAAAAAACAGTTGATCAGTTTATGTGTAACACAAAGCAGGACAACACAGACTGTAAATTTATTTTGTAAAATGATTAAGGAAAAACTCACAATTAAGCAGGACAAGTTGTTGTGCAGTATTAGTGTAACGCAACTTTATAAATATCAACTTGATTCACCTCTGCAAAAGAATTTCAGGGCGAATTAAATACATGCATACATTAATATTGATGGGAATATTATAGCATTATTCTCCACCAACTACTTAGAAGCAGATTACTAAATACATACTTCTATTAGTTTATACAGTGTTCTTAGAAATATGTGTAATGTTGTTTACTACGTACTGTTAACAGTATTAAAAGTGCATGCGTGTGTATATCATGTACATATGTAATTAGCAAGACGTGACAGGTTAAACTCGGCTACCATATATAAATATAAAGATAAATTTTCCTTACTAATAGATCTCATCGGAACTGATCATGCCGAGTTCCTGTAATAATTATCGAAAGATTAGTTTTTGGGTGTGCGTTACTGTAGTAGTCGTTGCAGTGTTTGTTCCTCTTGCCAAGAAGCTCGCCAATGACCATTTTCATGAATTGTCCGTCATGAATGGAACAACAAACCCGAGCACATGGTATTACCTCATATCGACGCTAAGAATTTACCACTCTTATTCCCCGATAGTGAACACCACTTTAGGACAAATTCGGGGAGTAATTTCAGTGTCGAGAAATGGACGTGCATTCCTCGAGTTTCGTGGAATCCCATATGTATGTATGCAAATCTAAATACATAACTTTTTTTAAATCTTGCACACAAATCTTTAAACTCAACATTACTAGGCAAAGCCACCTGTAAATGACTTAAGATTTGAGGTACGTACATTACGATTAATGAAAACGGGACACTGAATTTTGATTATAAAATAATAATATGATACTTATGTACACAGCCACCAGTTCCACCAGTTCCTTGGAAAGGACTGTTAACGGCAAATAATAATGGGCAACCCTGTCTGCAATTCGATGCCATGATGATGGGGGAGGTTCTAGGAAACGAGGACTGCTTAAAATGTCACGTATTTACACCTAATGTAAGCAATAGACACATGCATAATTGCAGTAAGAAAATAATAAATTAGAGCCATCATATATTTAGGTTAAACCAAAAACTTTAATGCCTGTGCTTGCGTACATCCATGGAGGAGGATTTACTGGAGGTTTCACAGCATGCTAAATAAATAATTAATTAATATTTAGTGAGATTGCTGGATATCACACGTACTTAAATTTTTAGGCGAAGCAGGCATTTTTAATCCAAAGTATATCATGGATAATGATGTGGTGGTCGTAACCTTCAATTACCGTTTGGGTAAATTTATTCCAATATGTATTTACATATCCTACTTTTATAAAAATATGCACACATTTTTTACGCTGCAGCTTCCTTAGGATTTCTTAATACTGGAGATGAGCTTATTAGAGGAAAGTGAGAAATTTTATATTTGGAACAATTTTGATAGAAATAGATATTTAAAATGAGTGCACAGCTAATCTTATATCGCGTTTCCCAGTATGGGTCTCAAGGATCAAAATATGGCATTGAGATTCATAAAAAATAACATCAAAGAGTTTGGTGGTGACAACACCAAGATTACACTAATGGGAGAATCCGCAGGTGAAAAACTAGATACGAAATCTAGATATGAATTTCAAATTATCTTACACACATAAACATAGACTGCTCTTTACGAAGGTGGAGCATCAGTGCATTACCACTTAATTTCACCACTCTCTCGAGGTCAGTATTATATTTTTTCCCACGAATAATCTCTTGGCGATTCCGGAATGCTCAATGATATTATTTTCAGGATTATTTCAACGTGCTATTGTCCAGTCTGGGAATTTGGGATCTCCGTGGTCGTTTACTAGGAATCCTCAACATCAGGCTATAAGGTTTGGGAAATTATTAAACTGCCCTGTAGAAAACACAACGGTCCTTGTAAACTGCTTAAAGAAAATGAACCCACGTGATATTGTGAAACCCCACGTCGATATTATGGTACATTAACTAGCTCTAATTTTCTCAACGTATTATGCCCATCTAAGAACATTTAACTGTATAATGACATTTATTATAATGAAATAATAGTCCCCCGTCCATAAGCAGGACGACTTTTTTACTGGATCAATCGAAGCAATACAACGTCAAGATACATTTCTTGGAGAAAATCCATACCTCATGCTGCAACGGGGCGATTTTGCCCATGTTCCAGTGATGTTTGGAGTTAATAGTGGAGATGGTGCCTTGAAAACTGCTCGTTGGTTTTTATAACCGTTCCATAAAACTAGGATTTTATTCCATACAATTAAAAAAGACATGTGGTAAAATATTTTCTTAATAGGTTTGGAAGCCTATTCCGAAATCCTTGACGAACTGGAGACAAAGTGGAATGAACATATCCCCATTTTGTTACATTATGACCCCAACAAAACTGGGGTATCAGACAAGCTGAGGGATTACTACTTTCTAAAATCCAAAGAAGATGGGAATAAAATATGGGCCAACCCTGCGGAAGACCTGTTGAATCTCACCAAGATGTTGGGAGCGGGTCTCTTCTTCGAAGGAACTAGTCGAGTAGCCAAATTCCACGCAAAGTTCGCCCCCACATATTTATATTATTACTCGTACATTTCTGAAAGCGTGCCTAGTGCGTATCCGCTAATAAAAGCTGCGATGCCAAAACGGTGGTGGGATCACTGGGGAATAAACATAGCTCAGGGGTTGGCCACGTATTATGCAAATAAGCTGATGTGGCGATCAAGTAAGGACCCCAAAAGATTTGGAGCTTGTCACGCAGGTTATTATAATATGCACTACATGTACATACATACTCTCCATCCACGTAGGATTGAACTTTCACAGAAATTGAGAATTCTGAGAAATTACGCCACTGCAAGGGTCAAAATTCGCTGTTAGTATTATGTGAAGAAATTTCAGACTGATAGTGGCGTAATTTCTGAGAATTCTCAATTTCTGTAAAAGTTCAATCCTATGTGGATGGAGAGTATGATTGTTTTACATGATTATTCAACGATATGTGCATGTTTCTCTCCATATTTGTACAGATGACGTAATGCAAGTTTTCAGCATGAATTCAATACTGGATATTAAATCCATTTCTTCGGATTACCCATTCTCAACAGAATTTGTTAAAACAATTGTCCAATTCGTATCACAAGAGTAAGTTTAGAAAAGTTTTAGGTCAGTCTGAAATTTAAATTGGACTTGTTTCTCCAGGTCGGACCTTACATTTAACAATGTTTCTTGGCCTTCAATAAACCTATCAGACTTGAGACTAAAGTACATGGAACTAAATCAAACAGGGGGGATGATTGATGAACCGTTTACAAAAGATATACAATTTATTCTCTTCAAATTCGAGATCCACTTGAGCTTAATAATTGGTAAAGTCGAATTAAATATATGTTAAATATCTTGGCAAACAAGAATTAAGTTAAACTAGACACATATTTTTGCACGACACACACTAATAAATGTGAATTTGTAGTAATAACAACGTCAAGTTTTATATAATCAATGTAAATAGTGTTTTGTCCGGTGTGCATACTATTTATTAAACTCTTAAGACATTCAAAAAATAAGAGACGCTTAGTTTGCTGAGAGTCCGGTGTATAATCTACACACATGAATTCAGGAAATTTTTTGTAAAAATGCAAAAACCAAGTACGAAAATGGCGATGCGGTTAATGCATTGCCACCTATGCATTGTTTTATCGTACAAAAAATTGCAATTTTCCTCTCATTAACTATCACTTTTGTTGCAATAAACTCCTTTTGATTGAGTAATGTCAAGTTTGATGTTTCTGCATTATGCATCAAACCTGTCTCAATTCTGCCAGCCATAACATTGTAGAAAGGGAATTGAGTAACATCATGTAGCTTTACATATACTCGAGATAATTTGTTATAAAGTTTTTGTGGTGCCCATATTGTAGTAATCAATACAAAGTAGAGTTTGGCGTAAAATCAAATGAAACAGGGTCTGTCACACAAATGAAATGACCTACAAACTGCACCAAAATTTAATAGCATTACAGCGTATGTCGTATGCAGCAAAAGATACGATGTGTTTTTTCATGTACATACATAGGTACGCATTCTCGTAAAATGCATGCACTTTATCCACTTTTTGTGCCAATCTCACAGGCAACTCATCTGCTGTTGCTGTTGCTGTCTATGCATACAACGTGCGTTGTCTTCGCAGTCTTCAAAATTCAGGACAAACTACAGTTATAATTTAAACTCATTGTTATATTTAGCTTTGAATTTTGTAAGGTGAGACAAAAGTGCATATTTTTATCCGATTTTTTACACATATCCAGTAATTAGAAATGAAATGCATTCCAAGTGGACAGTGCTTGGTTATTGGAAAGAAAATAAGTCGACCACCATGGCTGCAATTCTCAGTTTAGCAACGTACTTGTACAACAGTGTTTTAACGAATCCTAGTCTATTTGGTGCAGTTGATGGACCGGTTGTTTATTTGTCCACTGGAGGTGTACGAGGTGTATATGAAAAATCTCGAGATGGGAATATTTTCGCGTCCTTTTACGGGTTACGTTTTGCGAAACCTCCCATCAACGAGTTGCGCTTTGAGGTGTGCGAAAAAATACAACATATATATGTTAATATTTAGTTGATACATAGATAAAATGTACCAATTAATAGACCATGTGCAATCCTATTTTCAGCCCCCACAAGCAGCAGAACCGTGGAGTGGAATCCGAAATGCTCAAGATCACCATCCTGAATGCCTCCAAATCGAAGCAGTATGGCTGTTTCATTATACATATATTTTTTTATGCGGAGATTAAGAGAAATATATATCCATCTAAAACTTGAAATTATTAGATGGTGACTGGGAGGATCAAAGGAGTGGAAGATTGCTTGAAATTAAATGTTTTCACACCAAATGTAAAACTCACACAAAACAATTTTTAAATCAGAAATTTCGTGTAAACAATTTTTAATTTTATTTAGCTTGCAGAGAAATCAAATAAGTTGCTCCCATTACGAAAAGTTATGGTATTTTTTCATGGAGGATTATACATCTCCGGTGGTGCTACGATGTACGGACCAAAATATTTTATGGACAACGATGTTGTGCTAGTCGTCCCCCAATACCGGCTGGGCGCCTTGGGTGGGTACACTGTACATGAATTGAAGTTAACCATAATTTGACCAATTAAGGATCTTAGATCTTGTTTTTATTTTTGCGTCATCTTATTCCACGTCGCTAGGTTTTTTATCCACTGGTGACAACACGGTATCAGGCAATATGGGTTTAAAAGATCAAAACCTAGCCTTAAAGTGGGTTAAAGAAAACATTAAATCGTTTGGTGGAGACCCGACCCAAGTTACATTATTCGGCAATAGTGCGGGAGGTCAGTCATCAGTGGTAATAAAAATGCAATAATACGTATTATTTTATGGTTTATTGGGATAAATTTCAGGATCGAGTGTTCATTTCCATATGTTATCTCCATACTCGAAAGGTGGGTTTATGGCCTATGTATTACTATATATTCAAATTCGAAGATTTGGGACGCAATAATTTCTGAAGCCTTCTAATTTCTGGAAATGCACATGTACAACATCTAAATTTTAATGGAACATAATATATCGCGGTGGGTCCAATGTTTTCCACAGGGTTATTTCACAAAGGAATCTCAGAAAGTGGGACAGCTATTCAAATTTGGACGTTGAGTAAACGCCCAAAGGAGCAAGCAAAAAGGTTGGCGACTCAATTAAACTGTCCAACTCATTCAGTTAGTGATATGATTGACTGCTTGCGAAAATTGGACGCATCGTCACTCGTTAAGGTTCATTTAGCAACAATGGTAATTTCCTTTCCAAATCTGTACCAATTTTAGCACAAGAATATAATTGATGATTTTAGAACAATTGTCACTATTTCAGTCTCCAATAAGGGATAATACTGACTTATTTGTACCAACTATTGACAAAGACTTTATACCCGACGATCCGATGAAGCTGTTGAAGCTTGGCAGATTTCACGCCGTTCCTTGGTTGACGGGAGTTAATCTCGGAGAAGGATTATTAAATACAGGCAGTAAGCTCAAATAACAAAGTACTTAATCTGCAAATTGTAACTTAAAATAAATACATTCTAAAAATAATTTTAACCCCTCTTGACAAAGGAATATTGGCTGATGAGTACATTTACAAAAATCTCAACAAAAACTGGAACGCATGGATGCCTTTAATGCTTGACTATGATAAGAATAGGTTGGAAATTTCAGAAAAAATTAAGCAATATTATTTTGGAAGATTCGCTGGGAAGTATTATGCAGAGGATATTCGAAACATTACAAGTATATATTCCCACCGCGTTTATTTCCATGCTACACAAAAAGCAGCCTTGTTACATTCTGTGCATGCGCCCACCTTTCTGTATTTCTACACTTATCCAGGAGATTTCAGTTTTTTTAGTTTATTTAAAGCAGTGATGCCTCGCGACGGTGACATTATTGCTCCAGGTATGCATACTTATTTAAGTTCTAAAATGGATTGTGAGCGATATTAATCTATTTCAGAAGTAAAAATTGCAGTTGAAATTGCAAAAGACTTTGCTAAAGACTTGCTAAAAAAATTAGCCAAAAAATCACCGGACGGTAACGTTTAGATTAATTTTGTATAAATACAGTATTTTACACAATCTCATTCTTTCAAAAAGGCTAATCACAACATATTTCTTATAAATACAGATCTTTTTCCCTGCCATTCTGACGAACTACCTCTTCTGTTTAATATGCATCGAGCTATTGAAGTAACAAAGAAATCACACGACTACAAAATGTCAAAATTTCTAGTGAAAGCATGGACCGATTTCGCAAAGCTTGAGTAATGAGACAAACATAGACTAAACAATTTGATTTAACAACGATATTCAATTTATATTATTTGTAAATTCCAGAGATGGATCTATGTACTCTTACCAAAACATCCCATGGGAGCCAGTAAATAATTCTACATCCGGAGTGAAATACATGGTTCTAAATATTCACGGAAAAATAATTGAAAACCCATTTTCCGACATAATCAAATTTTGGGATGCCGTATGAATCTCATTATACCAGCTCGGAAGTACATACCGCCGACCCGTCGTAATAAATTATTATCCGCTAGTCTATATTACGAATGTTTAAGTGAAAGACTCTGTCCACGATTACTTGACATTTAGTATTAAAATAGAGTGATAAAGTGTCGAATAATCTTGACGCCCACGATTGCTTGACATTTAGTGCCTAGTTACCCTTAAGGGAGGCTAACGTTACCTAGATACTTAAAGTCAGGATGCACGATCAAAATTAATTAGTTTTTATAAGGTTAACTGACATCGTTTCTATGGGGTGGTGCCCCATACGGTTGCGACAAATGAATTATTTCGAAATAAAATTTTCTTAAATCGTTGGTTCAAAAGTGTCATATGTATGTATGTACATACATACATATGTATGTATGTATATCTTTATTACTGTGTCTTTCCCAATTCATTGCATTCATCGTACAAGTACAACAACAATGGTCTACCACTGGTGACACACTGGTCATATACCATATATTTAACTATTCTATATTACTAATTATTGCTTATCTAGTTAATAGTATAAAAATTCTTCAGTGCTTTTCTGTACAATGATTTCCATTATTCTAAGGCGAGACCCAAACGTAACCATGCACCCAAAAAAATACGTGCATGGTTACGGCGAAGCCATAGTATGCAGTTAAGTGGACACCTCAAAACAGTCAAACAAGATTGTGAGAGAACCATACGTCGTAGAGACATGCGGTTTCGACCAATGGGTAGTAAATTCTTTGTAGTATTGCGCATAGGTCTTTGGGCTTAATCGGTTCACACCTTCATGGTGTATTTCTCGTTTTAGTGACTTTTTTTTCTTTATCTCAAAATATTCCGCTGAAAGTGAAAAATCGGCAAATGAAAATCGAAAGAGCTTAAAAATTATTAAGATCATTCTTTAGAGTCATGAAAATCGGATGAAAAATGACGAAGCTATGGAGGTTTGAAATTTTTTATATTCAGTTACATCCATAGCAACTTTAGTAAAGAAATTCTTTATATGTATGTGTAAATGATGGCCCGAGCCAGGGCTTATATAATCGTCAGGTCCGTCTGTCTGTAAATTTGTAATGGCTCGTAATGGAACAATATGAATTAAGGAAAATCGGAAACATATTCATCTGGAGGGACCCGAAAGGATTTATTTTAATCGTCGTATCAAACCGCAATTTGTTACATATGCTGCCAATTGCTAAAATGCTAAAATGCTGTCGCTTTACATCGAAAGGACTCAGATATTCTCTGCTTTTCAGCCTTAGATGTGGACTTCTTGCCTAATAATCTGTGGCAAGTCGTCTCATCCCAACCGAGAACGGAACTCTGCCGGGGGCTGACTCAATGGCATTGCCATTCCGTATGGCTGGGCTCACCCTGCCATGAGAGACAGCACCTACCCCGTACTAACACAGAGCCAAGTAGGATTAGCAATAGCTTCCCGGCTGGTGGAATCGAACGTGTGACTGCGTGGTGACAATCCTACCCTCGAACCACCAAGCCAAAGGGCCTTGCTACTACTGTTCATTCAAGATTAATATGCAGTAAAAAGTCTGAAAGGTTATTTGGCGGATGATTGGTTTCCATTGATTGAGTTTGTTTATATTTAGGGTTGCCCCGGGTAGTGGTACTACCCGGTACTCGGCCTAAAATTTTTGCCGGGTACCCGGCTACCCGGCCGGGTACCGGGTAATATTTATAGAGATCCCGTACTATATAGTGGCGATGGAAAACTTTGACCTAAAAATGGTCAAAAAATGATTCTAGAAATCTCAAATTTTGGTATGATATCCTAAATATATCCAATCATAGACATTCGCGAAGAAAGAAGACCGAAGCCCATTGTCCAGCTCGTATTTAGCCTTTTTCATCACGCCCGCCATTACTGCTTTTTCGGAAGACTTTGCAAGTTCAATGCTAATTATCTCCTACCTGAATCGAAATTTTCGTAAAGTTTCGACTGTTTCGCAAAGCTGGGAGTATGTCTTCTTACATATGGCCCAAATTTTTTTATTGCGTGAAGATAAGGGTTGAATGTGAGGTTTTCATTTTTCAACCTCAAACTGATTTTTTTTTCGATTTCTTCCTTGATAGTCATTGAATTGTGGATTGGTCCAAGGTCGGTCCAACAAATTACATTTCATATTTTCTGATACTCCTTAATGAAAGGAATCAGACGGTCTATCTAACATTTCCGAAAATAAACATGTGCCTCCACACAGCCCTTTTAAACTGAGGGGTCCGAAACATGCCTAAATTGACCCATGCCAGCCAAACTTTAGATTTCTTGAGAAATTTCGAAGAACATTTTTGTTTCTTTTCGGTTTTCAGTTGAGAGATATATTTTCCACAAAAAATTGCCTTCTCGGAGTTTCTGTCACGTTTTTGAAGACGTAAGACTCGTCGCCAATGACCAACTGTTTTGGTGAAATTTTGTTGTAAAGCTTGGGAGGGCTTGCGTTCACTATTTTTTCTTGACCTTCCGTATGCTTTGGTGCAGATTTCTTTGAATACGCTTTGACCCACAACTTATGGGCACTCATACGATGCGCATAGTTTGAATTAATCTTCGACTTCATGGACGCATCAGGCACAAACGTGGATCCGTCCTTTCCAAAAATAAATTTAATCGTTTTTCATTTTCAAAGGGTCAATATGATGGTTTTTTCTTGTGGTGCGTATTTGAAGTTGATATTTTCGGATTCGCCATGCTTTTTTATGTATGTCCTAATTTTTGCACGACCACACCTCTCTCCGTTGAAATTTAGTCAAGCCTTCTTCGAGTCTTTGTCGCTCAAATTTTGGTACTTACAAAAAACTCGTTTGCCGACTTCCTCACTTTGAAGTTACGTACGAAATTTGTTCTTCAAGGAAAGCTTATGAAATTTTGAGGACACATGGTCAGATATATTTGACATATTATACCTAAATTTGAGATATCAAGAATCATTTTTTGACCATTTTTAGGTCAATGATCCCCATCGCCACTATATAGTACGGGATCTCTATATTAAAAATAACGGGAATTTTTCTACTTTTTCTAGAATTTGCAACAATTTTATAAGTTTTAAAAATTACAAGTCAAATTTCTATAGTGCAGACTTCATTTTTAACGTCCATACCAAATTTCAGATGAAAGTAGTATTTTGTAAAAATTGGTATGAGTCGCCTTCTCTATGGTTGCACTTTAATTGCTCCCCCAATGTAATACGACCCCCACAGGTCAACTAGGTGACCGATGTAGCCTGTCTTTGTACTTGTTTCCTATATCTGTGTCCAATATGCATATGGTAAAAATTTCAACTTCTCAGGCTAATGATTCTGGCTAGAAAGTGGATATTACATAAATCAAAGAACTCACGACAATTATTTATTTATCATCTCAATCATTTAGCAAACTTGTGAGGCATAAAAAAGTTATTCTTTGAGGGGATCCCTTACAAAAAAAATTTGGCGAGACTTTCGAGGTGATATCCTGCGAATCGATTAGCAAGATAGCACTTTGAAAGTCTCGCAAATCAATTAAAGACGTGTGTTTTGATCTTTTTGTCATGGATTTTTGTAATTTCTCTTGCGAGGATGAGTGCAAAATAATCTTACGAAAAAAACAACGGCATTGTAGCAAAAGCTTTAAGAAATCCCCAAATCTCCAAATTTCCAAAAACCTCGCAAGTTATGCTTAACGTGCGAGATATGCAAATTGACTGATTGATAATTCGTTGACGTGAGTGCGCTTAAAGTAATTAAAAAATTTATATGATAATTTTCAAATAAGTAAATGTTGGCCATTCTTTCCTAATATATCATTTTATACCAACTACAAACCTGAAATCAATCGGTTTACATTTTTTTGTAAGGTTGTTTTGCATTTTAAGTAAGAAAATTGAATATTTAAATTACCCGGCCGGGTAGACCGGGTACTTAAGTATACCCGGCCGGGTACCGGGTATCCCAAAACAGGCCGGGTATGCCGGGTACCGGGTAACTACCCGGTACCCGGGGCAACCCTATTTATATTTTCCAAATTTCACCTAATATTCATGGAAAAAGTAGACAAAATGTACCTAATTAAATCGTTGTCAATGTCAACCAGCAACTTCGACCATTTGACCTTTTACAAAATTTTGAGGACTTTACTGCATATTAATTTTGAACGAACAGTAATGCAAGAATGTTAATTTAAATTAGAACCATTAGTTTTTATTTACAAGATATTGATATGCATTTATGAAAAAATTTCGTGCAAAACTTCGGATTGGGTGATAATTGCAACCTTTTTTTGACTCGGGCTATATCAAGTCTGCACTGTGGGTTTTTAATGACGGAGTTAAAAAATTATTCACTTAAAAACGACAAAATAAATGAATTAAAAAAAATAAAACTAAGGCGAGAGGCGCTATTACAAACAAGAAACAAGCCCTCCCACCAACACCCCCGTCTCGCCGTGGCCCCATTAATATTTTTATATCTTGGGGGTGTAACCACAATTTATGATTCAAACCTTTAACTACAAATGTAAACTGCATTTAAAATTGATATATTGTACAATCTTATATTGCACTGCACTTTTAACCAGACAACCAATTCTTGTCAAAAAATTCTATAATATTCCAAAGTGATCGTATGATCTAGACCGATCCATTGACACCCACTGGAGGGTATGAGATCACTCGACCCCGATTTGGCCTAGGGGGTTATCTCAATCCTCCAACTTAGCAACGGTCCGCTTACACCATTTTTTCAGAACATAATTTTAACTTAATTTCTTCAAAAATGAAAATTTGTGTTGGAAACAAATCATTTGTCGCAACATGTATAGAATGATAAAGTGTCAAATAATATTGGTCATTGTCATTTAGTCGAGAACCAAGATCTGTTCTACCCTAGCAACATGAATTTGACGTAATTTAACTTACAAATTGAAATAATGGACCAGGCAAGGTACCTTGGTAGCGTGGGCTATAAGAATTAGCGTGGGCCATAAGAATTAGCGTGGGGCGTAAGAATTAGCTTGGGGCATAAGAATTACCATGGGCCATAAGAATTACCATGGGCCATAAGAATTACCATGGGCCATAAGAATTACCATGGGCCATAAGAATTACCATGGACCATAAGAATTACCATGGGCCATAAGAATTACCATGGGCCATAAGAATTACCATGGGCCATAAGAATTACCATGGGCCATAAGAATTACCATGGGCCATAAGAATTACCATGGGCCATAAGATTAGCATGGGCCATAAGATTAGCATGGGCCATAGGATTAGCATGGGCCATAGGATTAGCATGGGCCATAAGATTAGCATGGGCCATAAGATTAGCATGAGCCATA